ATCTTTTTTTTTTTTTATCTTTCTTCTTCTTTTTTTTTGGGTTTTTTGTTGCACATCGCATCTCGTCGGCTAGATTTCTCGCCGTCTCTCTTGCATTGGGCGGACCGGTGGGACCTAGTCAAGTACCGTACCGGTACCGTAGGTACAGTGTAAAAGTAAAAAGTGAAAAGTAAAAAGTAAAAAGTAAAAAGTAAAAAGTGAAAAGTGAAAAGTAAAAAGTGGAAAGTGAAAAGTGGAAAGTGAAGTGGAATGTGGAGGAGGTTTGGGGGTGTGCGGGGAAGGGAGGTAGGTTGACTGATAGGACCGATTGGACTGAGTGGACTGAGTGAGCGGCGATCTAGCCGAGCGGGAGGCGTGGGACTGGGTGGGGAGGGGGGAGGGGGACGGGTAAGTGTGGTAGGTAGGTACCGGTAGGTACGTATAGGTAGGTAGTAGCGGTAGACGAGGGGTTTTTTTTTTTTTTTCCTTTTTGTACTTATTTTACTTTTTTTAAGGGGTGGGGGTGGGGGACGTCGCATTTACTTTCCAAAGGCTTTTAGATATTCTTACTGTGTAGGAAGGCTCGATTTCGGACTTGGACGGAGTATGCAGGTTTGATTTGTTTGATGCCGTACGTAGCTAGGTACTAGCTATATACTACCTAAGCGGAAAAGAGTGGAATGCATAGGTAGGTAGGTAAGAATGCCCCTCCCGCTTCACGTCTCCGCAACTACTTGATTGTGCCAAAGCGATCTGCAATTGAGAATAGCTTTCTACTTATTGGCATTTGAAAGAGGAGATCATGTCGTTGAAGTGCTCCAGTCCGGGCTCAACCCCGAGTTCCGTAATCCAGCCGGTAGGTATAATTGAAAGATCCGGACGTTCGAAGGCAAACGAAATCACTAGATATTTGAGATCAGCTATTTGAAAAAAAAATTAAAAAATTCAAGTTATTAAAGATGGAATTAAATGCTTACACGAAAAACTCGCAGGTTGCACCTCCGGTATCTAAAGAGGTACCGTAGTTGTATCCGTAGTAACGGGAAGAACGACTTTAAGCTCGTCAGCTTTCTTCTAAACGAAATTAATTATTATTTTTTTTAAAAAAAAAAAAGAGTCGAAAAGAAGTATCTAACTGCAAAAATCCTCTAGCGCCTCGAGATATTAGCCCAACGCAAAATCAAGATCTTCGCAAGGCGTAAATATTCCTTGCAGTTACGGCAAAAGCCGCTGAAATACCTGCCATAACGATCTTATCAACGGCCATCATATTTAACAAATTAAAAGAAAGACCAGTTCTCTTAATAAATAGATACTCGAGATGTAAAACAAGAAAAGAACGACGGACACGTCTTAAGCGGATTTTAAAGACGGTTAGATATCTTGTTGTAAAACTTATGAATGGCATGAACTTTTCACTTGTCTTTTATTTTACGGTTAGTCGTACTACCTAGACTTGTTGCTTTCGTATTGATTAGAGGAGGTTGCAGAGCTACCACGGTACAGGCCTAAGTACCTAGGTATGGTACGTCCCAGGCGTAAGTAAGTATTACCCCTCGAGGGTAGGGCAACCAAGGGGGTGTAAGGTGGGAACTAAACCTTTTGAGGCACCCTCGAGGGGTAAGACTTAAGGCCTGTACCGTGGTAGGTATAACGATAACGATTCAAGCAGCATGGCCAAGTATCTATCGAGTATGCACAGACTAAAACTGTACATTAGTTACCCATAGGACGAAGGATGTACTACGATGGTGGTGTATTTTGACTCTCTGGCTCTGATCCTGTCGAGTTGGATCCAGAGATCTCTTCAAATTTCACGTCACGTCACGTCACATCACATCCCAATCATCACATCCCATCGTCCCCTTATACCTCATCCCGCCATCCCATTTCTACTCCGCGAAAAGCAAATGTATTCATTCGCAGTCGCATTCAGCTATCCTCAGCGCTACGCTAGAAAAACTAGAAGACCTCCGTAGACATCCGTAGACCTAGCCAGCCAACCAAGCACCGATTGATAGAGAAAGGAGCCGCCGCCGCCATTTCCTCCCCCCCCCCCCTCTCCCCGTGCCAGAAAATCAAAAGATGAGATCGTTCGTCCGTCGTCATCATCATCATCAACATCATGAAAATCGCAGCGAGAAAAGTAGAAGAGTAAAAAGCAAAAGAGTCCTCTGTGCAAACCAACCCCCCACACCCACACCCCAGCCCACAGCAACAAATCAAGGTCCAGTGTGTGTCCGTATGTATGTATGCGAGCCCATTCATTGAAGAACCGCGACGGGTGCTCGCTGTCTCGCTCAAGGAAAAAAAGGTGGTAACGTGCTTACGTATCTGCATCGGGGTGAACGTGTGTGAGCGGATGGGCGGGCGGGCGAGTTTGGCAGGAATCAGTATCGGATGATGGAGCGGTAGACGTCTGGGTCATCTTTGTCGTCCAGAATGATCCTGCAGGAGAAGAAAAAAGAAGTTTGGTCAGCATAGGAAAGAAAGATATCGATAGATAGATAGGCCCCGGAAGGACAGGTGTCTGCGAATGAAGGTGAAATGAAAATGGCTGACCAGGAACACAGCTTGACACAGGGCACGTTACGGATCTCGTCGCGCTCGGCCTTCTCAGTGATGGCACGGGAGAGCTCACGCTCCAGAATGCGCAGCTTGGCCTTGTTGAAGGTGACGCCGTCGCTCTCGCGGATCGGGATGTTGTAGACGGTGTCTCGAGAGTCTCGGGTGTCGCGGGGAGGGAGGTCGTGGAACAGGTTGCGCACCGTAACGATCTTGTCAGAAGGGATGTTGTGGTCACCCATAACTGCGCATGGAGTTTAGCCTCACATCAAGTGTGTGGGAGATCCTGTGGGAACTCTTACCGTAGAAGCGAAGGGTCTTCAGCGCAGGGAAGCGGCCGAGAGTGCTTGTCAACCATCGGGATTCGACCAGATTGTCAGCAGTATCTTCAGCCCAGACAGAGAAGGCGGTCGAAGCGTTGTGGACGTTGCTAGGAGCGCCGGCGAATGGTGGGAGCATCAGGTTAAGTACCAGGTGCTGGATCTGACCGAAGAGCTCTGGGACAGCAAGGCTGGGGAAGAAGCGATCAGGAGCACGATTGGCACGCAGTGAGTCAATGATATTATGGACCTCAGAGCTACCAAGCATACGCTTAGGGACGACGTTGCTACGAGTGGGTGCCAAGCTGAAGGTCGGGTACACTGACGAGTAGTCAGTAACATTCTCAGACAATATAGGACAATCAAGCTTAGATCTACTACTCATACTTACTATGCTGAGAGGCTTCACCGAATTGCAGCCTAAGGTCCAAGAGTCAGTAATCCAATCCGATATGAGTCTGCGGGTAGATCCCAATGTGCCTGTGCAGCTCGGGGCACTTCCTAAGCCCCCAACGCGTTTCCAAAACGTGTAAGGATCCGGTCCCAACCTCCACAGGCACATTGAAATTGAGACTTCACTCACTTCAGGATGAGAGCCGCCTTGTTCACGAAGAAGTTGCGGTTGCGTGGGGAGCCCACTTTGGCGATCTCCTCAGCTACGACCGGATGGAGGATGAACCGAGCCTTACCGCGCTCATTGTTGTTGATGGCTCGAATGGGGAAGGCACCGTCCGCCAGGGTTATACGGTCCGCAGGATGCAGTACGCTGGCAGTGGCTGGGTAAGAAGATTGAGGACCATTCATTAGCTGGTAATTTCCCTACGGACAAATTCAATTAGCATTGACTGAGGCGGGGGCATCCATGTACACTTGAATTGCGACTCCTAAAACAATCCTTGAAGTCTCTTGCTGGGGGAAGATGGGGAGAGTTTGGGAAGGCTGTTGTACTAACCGACCAAGGGTGAGGAGCGTGAAAGCGGAATAAAACATTCTCAGAGCAGATACCAGGCGTCAATCCATACACAGCATCCCCTACCACTGCAGGGCATGAAAGGGTTAGCGAGTAGACATGTACAAGATAACCGAGAATGCACTTCGGCTAGGTGCTTCGCTCGGCTATCTTGGGACATCTAGAAACAAGACTTACAATGACCACCTTCAGGAAGCCCATCAGATCCAATGGACGTGGGAACCTCGATGAACTCGAAATTCTTGTCCTGGGGGAGATTGAGATCCTCGAGAGTCGTTGCGGAGAATCGAGCGCGGCTGGCGCGGGCAGTTCTGGCATTATTATTACGTGTGGCCCAAATCACAAAGCCTCCAGCGGTAGGCAGAGCGGGAGCAACCGCGACCTGAGCTGGGGTGATTGGGTTCAAGTCCTGCTCAGACATAGGCTCGAAGAACCGCAGCGCAACTTCGCGAGTCTCTCGGGTAGCATGCATAATGCCTGGGATCCCAGGGGCCTGGCCAGCAATTCTGACGCCGGAATTCTCGAGAACTACCTGGAGTACGACCTGGTCTTCGCATACCATCTCCAGAATGATGGCTCGGAGCTCCGGGCTGATGCGGCCGAAGTTGGAGTGATCGATGGAGTTGTAGCGTGGGGGGGGATTTCCACCTGGCGAGCCAGGGTTCGTGCCTGAGGGGGACTCCATTGTGGTCGACGGTGGGATCTCAGTCGTAGCTCTGTTGAGGAAGATAGCAAGATCTCTGTTGTGGTTGATCAAGTGAGGAATCGGTGTTGTTGTTGTCGTCGTTGTTGTTTCTGGCTGAGAAGCTATGGCTGCGCTTTCGCGGCGTGGTGCGAACTAGCCGACGCGCGGTAGCGAATATCCCCAATGACCGTGGTGGTGCTAACGAAACGATATCTACATGAACTCCCAACCACCATCAAATGTTACGGCTATGTGGACAGACAGATAGATAAGTGTCGCGGACCGAAGATAACTCCGCAAAATAGGTGATATTTCGGTGGCAGATCGCACTTTCCGTCTGCCCGGCAGGGACGCTGTGCCTTCCGAAGACGGGAGGCAGGGCAAATGAAAACACGCTCTATTGCAACTGCAACAGAGCCGTTTGAGCTGCGCGGGAGGAATTGGCAAAGGTATGTATCAATACGAAGTTCTAAAGACGAAGAAAAGTGGCAGATGAACGCCGTAGCTGACAGTTTTCCTAGCTGTCTTTAACTGGTAGTTGCCCTACGAAGAAGCAGGTACTTACCTCCCGTCATCAATGTGCCATCACATACTATCGCATCTTATGCCCTTCAACCATATTCCTACACCGGCGTGTATCAGGGTCGTCATCAATAAGGAGTCAACAGTCCGAGGATATCTTAGCATCATTTGCGTGGCCTGTATAACAGCACATTACAAGCATCCTATCCGAGCGCTGTGATCCTGAAAGTTTGGTCAACAGAACCGTGCCACTCAATGCGTGCAAGTCCAATGACTGAGTGAGAACCAACTCAGAGTCAAGCTTACACTCCACCGCTGTATGAAGAGCCCATCAGTGACTGGAAGTGACCTCCTACCTACTGAGTTCAGGCAGTCGGCGGATGAGAGACAACTGCATTGGCTTCAAGTCTAGAGTCATGGCATTATCATACTGCAAGGGGCCAGCATAATCGAGAACAAGCAAACGTGATACGGAATACGGAATACGCAACACAGAACACACACCAGTAGATCTCGAGGAAGGATTCAAAGTATGGACCAGCAAAGAATTGAGATTTTCTCAGATCACGTATACGGGAGGAGAGGGGTGAACGAACAGCTGTAAAGAGACGCCCCGACACCATACAAAGCAAGGCTGACGATCCAGTCTGGGTATTCTTTCTCACTGTCCACCATGAAGAACAACGCCGCTTGCACGAATAACAGATGTAGATCACCTGGGCGGGGTATAGCCAGGTGATCTATACACATATGCTACAACGAGTTAACATGATGCTTTCTTCATCTGAAGAGGAGGAGACTTACGTTGGCCCTTCGGCAACCCAGCCAGTGCACTCCGCTCTATCAAATCCGAGAACGTTGTCTGGTGCTTGTCCCTCGCATACGACGCCTGCGGCGGCTGAGGGCTCCCAATATCCGTCCTCTCCGTGTCCCTAAAAGAACTAGCCGTATCAGCATCCGCAAAGATGCTCATACGCTCAGAACTCACCTCCCTCTGCAGCGGAGGCGTAACCGGTCTGTTTTTTCTCTGCTGCGCCATCGGTCTCTGCACATTCAACGGGAGCGGGGGCGCCAAGCTAAAAGCTTGGTCGTTGTATTTCCGGAACATAGACTTGACCCGGTATACCGTACTACGCCGCCCGGGTCTGCTTTCACCGGCCGTATATGGCGCTTGCGGGTATTTGTACGTAAAGTCGCTTCGCATATCGCAGCCGCCTACAGGTTCAGAAATGTTGCCGAACGAGGAGCCGCTCTTTCTGGCGGATCTTCGACGGCGGGCCCCGAGGAAGCAGACGGTGGCTACCGAGAGCAAGATACCTACTGCTAAGCCTGGGAAAAAGCCTGCGAGGATAGCGGGGGCTGGGAAGTTGTCGCACTGATTTTGGGCCACCACCAAGGAAGTATTTGTGGATGGCGAAGTGGGGGAAGGCAAGCTGGCTGAGCCTGGAATCTTTAAAGAAGTTGGAGACGCGGATGTGGATGTTGGAGAAATCGCCGATACACCTGGTATGGCACTCTGGTCTGCGTTTTGAACACAGTTGCCTCCGCTGTTGCAACTATACCCAAAAGGACAGCATTGCCCGTTACAGGTCGCCAAAGGCACCGTGAAGATGGTAGTCTTGAGCATATTACTTGAATGCAGAGTGATATCTTGTGCTGTGATATCGCAAGTGATCGGCTTGATCGTCGTGCAGTCTGCGCCGGTTGGACAGCAGAGGAGGGTTGAGTTTCCAGCAAGTGGTATGCAAGTGGAACCGGATCCGCAGCAGAAATTTGCAGGCAAGCCCGCTTGCGCGCATCTGCTGAGAGATGGATCTGGGCAAGTCGACTGTCGCGCAAAGATATTATGCGAGTGTTGCGCCGTGGCAGAGGTGGCGAGGAAGATGGCTGCGAGCAACGCATGCCCAGAAGTTCGGGATCCTCTCATGATGAAAGTTGTCGTAGGTTACACAAGATAAGAAAGATGTTGAAAATTTCCAAATATGGAGGATATTAATAGGCAGTGGTCGTTGACGACGAAAGAAGGATATGACAGGAAGGATACGAATGCAGTAATAGAACACGTGGGAATGAGGGACAAGTAGTCAACTGTGACTCCGCGAAGATTCGAGTCTGCGACAACAATGACTCTGAAGCGGGGTGGGTATACGCCAGAGCATTCAACAAAGAGCAAGACTCGAGGAAACCAAAGTCACGAAAAAAAGAAGTTTAGAAACGAAGAGACCTAGGAAGCCGCACGACATTCTTTGTCCCCTACCTGGTTATGACCCACCATCGTCATCGCCCTCGGTGCAGAGCGGCAGCATGGAACTGCAGTGCACGTCAGTCCCTTGGCCTGGAAATCGAGCGTGTATCTTCGAATAGCTTCGGTAGTGCTAGAATAGGCACAGCTGGACTGTACGGGCGGCTCGAGGGGCCAGATCAACCATAGGATGGAGAAGGCCGCTTGGGGATGGCCCAGAGGCAGTGGAATGAGGCAGTGACTCTCTTGGATCTGAGCGCTTGAGTGTGGGGATGAGGGTGAGGAGGAGGAGGAGGTGGTGATGGTGATGGCGGTGGATGAAACGTGAGGTGAGGTCGGCGCTGAGTTGGGCAATTGGTTGGCCCAGATTGCACGGCGGGAAGTTTGGCGCCGAAGCGCGCAAGTCACATGGTCGCATGGATGGTGTTGATGTGATTCAAGCGCTACACAGTTTCGCTGGAGAAAGTAACAAGCTGGCACGATTATGGGTGATGGATGGAAGAAAAGAATCAATCTTATACAGAATTGTGATTGTGATTGTGATTTGACTTGATTGTCACGAGCACTAAGGAAGAGTTGTCGGTCACATGAGTAGTTTGTTTGTCCCGAGTAAGCGAAGAACGAGAGCTTGGAAGTTGGCATCTGTAACTGCAAACCCTGATAAAGAGCCCTCCAGAGAGTACTATGATTGCGAGAACGAGGGATTGATTGATCAATTGATCAGTTTCATTGCTTTCATCGCCGCCCAATAACCCTTCGACCAAGCTATGTACCGGTAGTACCTACCGGTAGCTACCCTCCGCAGTTGCCAACCAGCCAGCCACCTCCTCAAGAATGTCACGCGTCGGCGCTGGTCCCGGGTCCGACTGTGAACCTGTTGCTGCAAGTTACAGGCATGCATACGGTATCTATATGCAATTCGTACATCCATATCCGCCGGACATGCAGAGGTACATTAGGCGAAGTCTCCGCTCCCAACCAAGGACCAAGAACCAGGGACCAAGGAAAAAGAAAAAAGAAAAAAAAAGAAAAAAAAAAGGAAAAAGAAAGAAAGAAAAAAAAAAAGGACAAGAAAACCAAAGGCCAACTCCAAAGGCACACCTCCGTACAGCTAGCACATCTCCCTCCGCTCACCACGAAAAAAAAAAAAAAAAAAAAAAAAGGGAGCTAGTAAACAACATACCATGTCCAGATAGATACGCACAACCCGCAAGCACTACAACACTACAACATAACATGATATAACACAAATAGGAAATACTCTCCCACATCCCTACAGCATACCTACAACTCCAACATATACACATGCATATGCATAGACACATCAATACCCACGTCCCAAATACCTGAAAACACATGAAACCCAACCTCTCTCTTCCCTTCTCTTCCTCTTCTTTTCTTTTCCTCTCCTCTCCTCTCCTCTCCTCTCCTCTCCTCCCTCCATCTCCCGGTCCCGGGGGAAAAACCATCCCATCCCATCCCATCCCATCCCATCCCATCAAAGCGAGAGCGGGAAAGAAAAAGGCAGCGGGCAGCGGGCAGCGGGCATCATCATCACTTCTCCACTCCACTCCATTCCAGGGCCCTAGTCAATCACTCACTCACTCACTCACTCACTCACTCACTCAGTCAATCACTCACTCACTCACTCAATCCAATCCAATCCAGTCCAGTCCAATCCAATCCAGTCCAGTCCAGTACGGTCTCCCCCCGGGCCTCCTACCTATCGAAAAAAAAAGAGGAAAAAAAGAAAGAAAAAAAAAAAGAAAAAAAAAAACGGCCCTCGCTCGCTGGGTGGCTGGGTGGCTAGGTGGCTGGGTACCGGTAGTTTGCTGGGTGGCTGGAAAAGAAGAAAAGGTAACCTACCTTACCTACCTTACTTAGGAGAGAGGGAAAGGAAAGGAAAGGGGGAAAGGAACAGCGGATGGCATGCATCCTGACCACCCTCGGGGGTGACACGACATGAACATGAACATGAAGCAGGCGCGTGGCCGGGGCGTTGCGAGTACCGGTATCACAGCAGCTAGCATTACTGTATGGACGAGAAGAAGCAAACTTGTGCAGTTAGTGCTGGGTTGATTGATTGATTGATTGATTCATCGATTGGCTCCCAAGTCTGCTGCTACCACGTTGATTGATGCGTAGACTCGGCTTGCCCAACCACCCCTCTCCTCCCATCTGAGTACCCCTTATCGGAGGAGCAGTGCTCAAACTCCTTCCCGTCCCTCCCCTCCCCTTCCCCGTGTCTCCGCCTCCCCTTATCCTCGAGACGTCAATGCCTATCCCCCCCGCGCCCCCTTCGTGAGAACGTAGACGCAGGTTATCTAGAGCCGGCCAGCCCTCTGGCCCCGTCCAGGGTTCCTCCTGTACGTATATATATAATGTCTGGTATGTGTTGTGTCAAACCCCACCCAGTGATATACCCATCCGTGATCCCCCCGACCCCGATCCCGTCCCAAAGCCCGCTCCGTAGACCAAGTAAACAGGGCCCATCCGAAACGCCGTTGCTGTGGGTATGCCAAAAAAGAAAAACAGGAAAAAGAAAAACATATGTGGGTACGCAGATGCCCGCTTGCTAGTATCAAACGTCGGTGACCACTGAGGGCGGCGACGTGATCGAAGGATAGGAAATCTGTCCAGCCCTGTCCCAAACCCATCCGGCCCGAATGTAGCCCACCGGGGTCCACCCCTACTCTCGGTGCATGTCTGCGTTCAGTTCATCAGTTGCGTTCGCGGGCCCACTAGGGCTGGTATGTTGCAGCGCAGCTCGGACACCCTTCTCCCCATCCACCCTTCATCTCGGCAACGCGAATTAGATCGTCGCCGGGACTCTCGCATAGGGCGCTCGACGTAGATCCTAGCATCCTTCAGAACCAGTCCGAGGATACCAAGCCGGGGGCAGGTTTCTAGATCAACAAGTAATCCCAGTCCTCCATCTGCATCACGTCTCGCCAGGAGACGTAGTGCGCTTCTCCGCCACCGGGACTGAAGCGCCCATCGACGTGGCCCCAGACAGTCTTCAGGAGGCAGGACACGCGGCCGAAGCTGCCGATACTCGCGAGCTCGCCGAGCCCTTGGAGGCGCTCCTCGAAGAAGGCGCGGAAGGGCGAGTCGGCCGTGCTGACGGAGCCGCCGATGAGGTAGACCCAGACGAGACTGCGGTCGAAGCCGAGTGGGCCCGAGGGGATGAACTCGAGCACGTGGGTGAGTTTCGACACGAGGCCGACGCAGCTTGCTTGGCTGGGGGTGAAGCCGGGGACGAGGCTGCACAGGTAGATCCGTGCCGCGATCCGGAACGCGGCGGTCATGTTCTTGCTCAGCTGCTTCGGGCTCAGGACGCCGTTGGTGTTGTATGGGATCTTGGGCCCGGGGTCACCGATCTCCGTGAGCCCGATCTGGTCGCCGAGTGCATGCACGTGCTGGCACAGCTGAATGTCGTCCATGCCATCCTTCTTGAGGGCCTCCAAGCAGGCAATCTCGGAAATCAAGTACATGACGCGATCCTCGCAGCCCATGAGCTCCCGAAGTCCAAGCGATGAGTTCGTCGACGACAGGTGCTTCTCGCGGTAGGTGTGTGCGAAAGTTGGAGCACGGCCTTGCATGGTCGAGCCCAGGATGTCGATCCAGGACGTGAGGGTCATGTTGAACTGGATGAGATCGTGCGATTCGGAGACCATTCGGTTCAGCTCGAGTTTCTGCACAAGCGAGATGGCCGCTTGGAAATGTTGATGCCACGGGATATCGGGCAGGCAATCGTCGTACCGGCCAACCGAGGTCTGGAAGAAGATCATTCCGAGGGTCGCTTCCAAGATCGACGAATGGTCGGTGTCCCGGTTCAGAGCCTCGCAGAGCTCCGAGATGGTCGCGTAGCGGTGGCGCATGATGTCGTTGTCGATCTGCTCCCCCTGGATGTTCATGGTAGCTTTGCAATGCTGCGCTGCAATACTCAAACAGCAGTGCAGGTAGCACTTGTTGCCTTGGAGAGCAGGGAGGACGTAGTCCGTTCGCGCGGAGCCATGTTGATTCGTCTCGAGGACGGGGAAGACGGTGGGCAGGACATCGACAATGAAGTGGTCCAGCAGTCTCTGGTCGCCCTCGTCAAGCTCAATGGCAACTTGGCGGATGCTGGACGGGGGACCGTGCGAAAAATCGAACAGATTAGTGTTCAGAGCTTCTTCGGCCAGGGACCCTCTCCGGTCACCGTAGGAGCCTTCCCACTCGCTGTCCAGTGGGAATGATGGGAGCATGGCCTCGGGGGGTGGCGGGGGATGGAAGGTGCTGAACGTGGAGATGGTCGATTCGCGGCGGGTAGGAATATCATTGACGAACATTTGTCTCTCGGTCTTCACGTCGATTTCGTACGGAGAGTATTCTGGGTACATGGGGGCGTAGTGTGAGTGGGATGAGTGCATATGCGAGTTGTACGCGGTGTAGTCTACGATGTGAGGAGGCGCGTTGAAATCAAAAACGGAGTCGATGGAAGCTGACCGCGTTCGATCCAGAGAGTCCGAGTAAGTTGCCGACGCGGGAAGGGAGTGCGACAGTCCCGGCGGCGTCTCTGGGGCCGGCGTCACGGTTTGGTTGGGCGCCGATGATGTTGTCTTCTCGGTGAGCTTCTTGCACTTGATGATCACCTTGATGTTGTCTTTATGATTGCGGCGTTGGTCATTGTTGCTCCACCATATCGGCCGCTTGTACTCGCAGCAGAGGCCGAGGTGTTTGCAAGCTGTGCAGGCTGGCGTGCCTTCGTCGCACTTCTTTCTTCGTAGTCTGCATGTGTAGCAGCCTTCAAGTTCAAGTTCAAGTCCGAGTCAGCATGCATGCAACCAACCTCTGGAGTTAAGCGACGACCGCAGGGAAATATGAGCGGAAAAGGAGAAGGTAGAAGTAAAACAGCACCCACCTGTTCGAGACCTTCGATGCATCTGCATCTTTCCTTTCGGAGTGGTGGTGTTTGCCTTGGGAGGCGGCTTGGGCTTTGGTTGAGAGACCGCCATGGCGACGTTCGATCTGCCCGCCAGGAGCTGTGGTGGAGGGGGTTGTGTTGACATTTGTACCTCGCATGCGAGTAAATAGTGGGGGGCAGGCCTGACTCGAGGCTAGTGGGATATGGTAAAGTGATGGGAGACCAGGATATGCCAAGGCGATAATTGGCGAGACCGGGGGAAGGATTGATTGATTAAATTACTACTAAATAATGAGTGACGGGTCAAAGTAAGTCCAGCTTATCTTTGACGGAGAGGTTGGGTCGAGGTCGAGATTATGGCGAGGTCGAGGTGTCGAGGGGGTGGGGATTAGGAGGAGGAAGAGAAGGAGATGAGGAAAGCGGACGGCGAGGTCGAGGTACACACAACTGACTGGGCTTCAAACTCTCGTGGCATCTGGGACGTCGTCTGGATGAAGCTGTATGTTGGTTCATATATGAGCTCAAGCGTCGACTATCCAAAGATTCTATTTTGGGAATCAATGAATGAGGTATCTGACCTATCTACAGATATGGCTGCTGCTCCTGTCCTGTCCGCATGCACACGTGTGGATTAGCTCGAGGTGGTGGCCGGCATGGGACCATGGGGCGATGTATGGAGCCGTTAGACTCACAGCTATTGCTATTTACAGTACCGTACCGTCCTGTAGCAGGCCAGAAGCGAGGAGAGTGAGTGGTTGGAGGGACCGCCATTGCCATCTCGGGCACCACAAACCCACAACCGACAACCCACAAGCGACAACCCACAAGCCAGAGCCAGGTATTGTACAGGGTTGAGAGCTGTGACGAGCCAGTAGGGGCAGCAGACCGACCGACGTCCCCCATGGCAGACCTATTTTCGCGAGGCGCTTCCTGCATCCAAGCCCCCAGCCGCCGGATTTACCCAGCCAGCCAGCCGGCCGGCCAGCCAGCCAGCCCGCGCTGCCCACGGAAATATGGCCCAATCCGTCGAGACGTTGGCTCTGGACCATCAGACTCGAGTCTGACGAACCACGTCGAGTCGGAGTCACTGACTGAATGCACTTTGTCTTGTCCCGTCAGAGCTCTTCTCCTCTCCCCTCCCTGCTGGCCGACCAAGCAAGCAAGCAAGGCCCGGCCCCTGCATCTGCATCTGCTTTTGCCGGGTAATTATGCATCGACCGTAAGGTTGTCGATATAGTAGATGCAGTCCGTAGATACAATCGATACTGACAGAGCTTGTCACCCCACACCCGGCTTGCCGTCAGTACGTCTTGCCGACTTGCGGTCTTGCGGTCTTGCGCTCTCAGCTTCACGGCCCATTGGGTTGGCACAGCTGGATGTACAGTAGCAGCAGAAGCTTGCCTGTCTCTTCCAGTCGCCAACCGACGGCGCGCTGGTCGGCTGGTCGTCTGTCTGAAGCCAAGCGGTTCGTCATGCCCGAGAGTCAACAACCACTCACTCGTTACTTGCTACTTGTTACTCGTTACTCGTTGCTCGTCACTCGTCGTACAAAGAGACATTGTGGTTATTCCCCGAATCGTGAGTCTCTGCGAATCGTGTCGCGTCAAAGGGCGGTCTGGTTGCGATGGGCCGAGGAAGGGGGAGGGTGGGGGGAGAGGGAGGGGGAGAGGGTGGGGGAGGGGGAAGGGAGAGGGAGAGGGAGAGGGAGAGGGGAGAGGAGGAGGAAGAGGTGTGGCTATCGCGTGACCGTCGTCCATGGATGGATGGATTGATTGATTGATTGTCCGTGGTCCATGGTGTATTGTCCGTATTGACCGTTGTCTATTGTCCGGCATCCGTTGACTCTTGTCCGGTATCCGTTGACCGTTGAGTGGATGGGAAGTTAGAAGAGAAGAGCAGAGAGAGGCTGGAGGGGACTGACTGGTGGAGAGAGCAGAGCAAGGGACGTTCGTCGTTGTAAGAAGAAGAAGAAAACAAGCGAATCACACGGCATTAGCGTCGACCCCCGGGCGGATGCTCCCGTCCAACGATTGACAAGTTGTGTCCCTGTTCGTCTGGGGGCCCATGCCCATGCCCGTGCCCGTGCCCGTGCCCATGTCCATGCCTCCGCCCACGCCCACGCCCACACCCACGCCCACGCCCACCTCCACATCCACGCCCACCTCCACGTCCACGTCCACGTCCACGTCCATGCCCACCCCCGCCCTCCGTCTCTCTCTCTGCGCCTTAACTCTATTTCAAGCTCCCCAAATTGGACTATGGACTATTGAATGCTAATTGACTCCCCTTCCCAGCGTCAAGAATGCAAGCAATAACCGCCCTACACAGATCTATTTCGGGTGGCCTCATTACTGCATTAAATATTAAACATAAAAATTAAATGCAGTCAATTAAGTCGGTCAGTCGGTCGGTCGGTCGGTCGGTCGGTCGGTCGGTCGGTCGATCAGTCGGTCAGTCGGTCAGTCACTTAATCACTCAGTCACTCAGTCCCTCAGTCACTCAGTCACTCAATCACTCAATCACTCCACTGCATATGGACTGTGTGTGAACTTGGACCTGCCCTGGAACCGGGACTGGAACCAGGACTGGAACCAGGACCAGCCCGAGACCCGTGCAGGATCTTCGTGAAAGCTTTGTTTGTGTTCACGCTTGATGGAAGCCAAAAAGAAAAAAAAAAAGAAAGAAAAAAATTTCTCGTGTCATGCCGCATATGCGCATCATAAGCAAGATCATGGATAGATGGAGAGACATCCAGAGAGAGTTAGGTACTCCGTACCTACAGCACAGGACAGTAGAGAGAGAAGCCGAACGCATTCATGCCACCCGTGATCAGTACGTGCAGTGCAGTGCAGTGCAGTGCAGTACAGTAGCAATCCGGGCGAGATCGAGTGCCGGGGCGCGGCGACCGGGGGCTCGTCGTTTAGAATTCCTCCATTAGGAGATGGTACGAGGACTAAGATCTCCCAGCACCGAAACTCAATCTGGAAAGATGGCCAACGCCTTGCTGACAGTACAGAATAGAGTGTGTCCTGGTGAACGGAAATCCAGGGTCGTCGTCGTCGTCGTCGTCGTCGTCGTCGTCGTCGCTCCACAGGGGACAGCCGAATGGCGAACTCAGTTTAGACTTTTTCTTCCCTTCCCTTCCCTTCCCTTCCCTTTTCAACTCTCCTCTTTACCCCGTACACCCAAGAGAGAGCGCGCCCGAATAGAAAGGCGCAGACACCACCTCTCGAATGCGATTGATCAGGTCGACACGAGTCGCTAATTTCACAGAGGTTCAATCGGGTGCTGGAGCTGCGGCCTCCCGTCGCCTCCTCCGCACGTTCCGGGCTGGCCTGGGCTGCGGGCCTGCGGACGCGTCGTGGTCCTGGCGTGGCCATTAGAAGTCGCGGACGGGACGGTACGGTACATAACGGTACGGGACCTTTATGATAGCTATCTATAATCGAATTGTGATACCCAGCATCGTCGCTCCTCGCCAGCCCACTCACTCCATATGGTCCACTCAGACCTCCAAGCTCGTGGCTCTTCCTTCAGGTCACCCACCATCCGGCCTCCGCGAATCTGATCGGTCTCTTCCGGGGGAAGGGGGGGGTCCTCGCCAGGCCGCCCGCATTTCAGATGCAGTCATGTGAGCGATGTGTGAGTGCTCTGCGTCCAGCAATTGGTCGATGGCCAGTGTGCAAGTGCCAGGCCTGGGAGAGACAAACGCGTCAAGTATTGACCCGCGGCCAAACAGCATAGCAGGAAGCTCCGGTCGTGCTGCATGGAGTCATGACACCCATAGGAGGGGGCAAGGGAAGACAATGGGGGTGTTCGCTCAAGAGTGTGCAAGAGCTGGAGCTGGAGCCACTACCGACCGGGTCGTGGGTTTTGAGTTGAGACTCGAGTCCATCCATCCTGGCTGGGCCATACTACTACCGGTACTGTATCTGCGGTGACTGGTGGGTGCATAGGTCGATCGACTGTACTGTTGATGCTGTCCTCCGGACTGAACTGATGAATCCCTCAAACCGACGGTGAGGTTGAGACATTCCCAGGGAGGGAGAGTACCTCTGATGTGGCGGCCCCGGGCGAGAGACCTCTGCTGGCGGTGCGTTGCGTTGCGTACAGGAGCGGGGTCGGGGTTGATGTTGACGCACCGTGATACTGTGAAGGTGGTGTGTTGTAGAAGTGGTGGAACGTTGAGGCCCAGCCCAGCCCGGCAGGCCAAGGACGAGTTGGTCCGGCAGAAGATCTCGACGTATCCTTGTGGGGGGGGGAGGGGGAAGTTTTTTTTTTTTTTTTTTTTTTTTCTTTTTTCTTTTTTCTTTTTCCTTTTTTCTTTTTTCCTTTTTTTCTTTTTTCCTTTTTTTTTTCTTCTTTTTCTTGAGATAGAGATAGGCACTCACATCCGTCGCATTGCTTGTAGTCAAGCGAAATCCACAACCCGGATGAGCTTCAACCACATCACATCACTCGACATCTGCTTCGGCTGCTGCTGCTGCTGCTGCTGCTGCTGCTACTGCATCACTAAGCCTGCCATGGATTGAGGAATGGGAGTCTAATCATATTTCCCCAATGTTGATATTCCCGCCCCAAGCGACCTTCTTTCCTTAGAGGGCCAGGCGGAGAGCAGCCGATCTCTCCACTGCTGCCCAGATAGTCCTTGTACCCCAGCCCAGCCCAGCCCACTTCTCTTCATGAACCTGAAATGGCCTGCTCGAGTTCCGACGGGCCCTCGTCGTCGCTATTGGCCTCGAGCGTTGGATGAGCTGGTAGAAATTAGACTTGTCGCACTTTGCCTCCAGGTCGTCACTGAACCCGGAAATATGACTTGGGACGAGGCCAGCCAGATCTTTGGCAGCAGGACTCTCTCTGATGAGATTTGACGAGATAGACGAAGCTCTACCGGCGTCGGAGGGTGGGCGCGTAAATCCAATCCCGGTGGCCAATCACCGCATTTCTCGGACCTGGGTATTTGCGTGGATGGGGATTTGGGAATTTGGGTGTTTTGGGTAATTGTTCAAGGTTTGGCCGATTCCCGCATTGGACGGGCTGCAGTTGCTGGTTGGTCTCTCGCTTGCGTCCACCTTCCCCCCCTCCCCCACTGGTCGTTACTTAGTTGCACTCTGCTCGACAGGTCAGGAATAGTCACATCACACACACAACCTTACACAATCACACACAATCACACACAGTCAGTCACTCACTCATCACTCACTCATCACTCATCTCACTCAACCACTTGATGCAGAACATTGGGCACGGATCGCTGATCACATCGCATTTACATTTGTCCTATATCGGCATCAAACCCATGCTGGCTGGCTGTCGAGGGCGGTTGAGCTCGACACATACATATATACTCGAGCAGGCGCCGGCATCTCGAGTACCTTTCCCCTTTGATGTTTCTGGCCTTTGGCGCCGTACCACCTCTGTCTGTCCGTCTCTTGGTCTGTCTGGGGTTTCCTATACCATCGTGACACGGTAGTCGTCTCCATCGGATCCTCAGAAAGTTGTCCGGCAACGGCAAAAGCTAGTCACCTAGCAGTACCCTCGCTCCCCAAGATGCCCACCCAGCCATATAACAACATGATGGTATGTTCTGGACTCTGCTGGCCATTTTGGCTTTCGGTACTCACTAACGGGCTATCAGCGCCGCACATCGTCGCCGGTGACACCCATCGACCCGAGAGTGGAGATGTTCCAGAGGGGACTGTCGCAAGATGCATTCTTCAACATGAAGGCGCTGGCGCCACGGCCCATGTCAGAGGCCACCGAGTTCGACACAGACTTCGAAGACGACATGAGTGAAATTGAAATTGAAGACATCTCGCCTCGGCATAGCGTGAACTCGGTGAGTGCTCTCAGTATCGGGTCGACACTCACTTACTAATAGAAACGCAGGGCAGTAGAAGGAGTGAGAGAACGCTATCCTCGTTCGAAGAGGTACACACACCGAGTCCGAACTCGGAGGAGTTCAACTATTACCACTTCGACATGACGACGACGAAGAAGGCAGTTGAGGGACCCCGAGGACCGCATCTTTTCCGAGCATCTGTCAACTCGTCCTTGCAAGAAGAGGAGGAGGTGTACCTCGCCATGTCCCCCATGACACCGCGGCCCTCAAAGTTTCAGAAAGCGCCAATGGATACGTCGAGGGTTCCCGAGATACCGACACGGCACCACCGCCATCCCAGTTCGCTGACGGACGCTGTAGAGAATCTGAACTTGAACGAGGTTGCGTTGTGGACACCTCTGCAGGTCGCAAGATGGATGTACGATGCGGGCTTCGAGCCCTCGATAGTCGAGAAGTTTGAGGAGAACGATATTTCAGGGGCAATCTTGACCACCTTGAAGTTTGAGGACCTCCGAGAGCTTGACATTCCATCCTTTGGGCAACGGACCAAGGTCTGGAACGAGATACATGTGCTCCGGGGTAGCGTGCCGGACACACCGAAACCACCAACGCCCATCGATGAAACAATTTCGCCTGTGGAGTTCCAGCCATCGGCATTTCAACGACCGGCCAGACACACGTCGAGGAGGGAGAACGGAGCATGCGGATTGGAAGAGGAGCCGAAGCGTCGCAAGAGTTCTCGAAGACGACACCGAGCACGAGGACCCGCAGACATCATCTCGCCCCTCGAATCGGTTTCTATAGTCGGCATTGAGCAACTCATGCCCAAGCCTCACAAGTGCGCCAAAGGCGAGAACTGCTCGAAATGGAAGAAGCAACAGCGACTCATTGAGAATTTCAAGAGGGATCACCCGGTAAGCCCCACCGGTGGCTCTATCTGGATCGCTGGCGATCCTGGGAATCCACTCACAGCCAGCGCCGTCGCAGAGGCCATCCGTCCGGTCTCTGACGCCGTCCCCTCCGTCGTTGCGTCGTCTGATGTTCTTGGCCCTTCCAGACCAGCTTTCCGCCAGTTGGAGGAGGCAAGCCTCCGTAACGTCCAGTTACGCGACCCTCAGGAGAACGTCAAGCAGTTCCTCCAATTCCAGCATGTCGACCACAACCAAGTGCAGTGGTCGTCAGAAGAGCCTCCGTCCCCTCCCTACGAGATGTTCCCAACGCTCCCAACTCCAAACCAGAAGCTCCACAGCCTTCCCAGACTCGCCATCCCACCTCCTCGGCGGCCACAGCCACCACGGTCAGCAAGTGCCAATGCCTTCTCCCCATACCGTATGGAGCGTGTTGAAGCGATGTCTCCTGAGCTCCGCAACGCAACCCAATCCCCAGCAACAGCAGTCCACCGCTTTGGCACCCCCTTCTCCGAGATGGACATCCCAGTAACAGCTGTCCCTCTCGGGCCCGTTGCACGAGACGCTTCCCAATCCGTACCACCCAACATGTCCTACCGACACTCGCCGGCACCCATCCCAAACCCCCACCCCAACTTCGCCCCGGCTCCCCTCTCACGCACTCTCTCTCGCGTTTCCGCCCGCCGGCCTTCCTTCGCCATGCCCCGCGTCGACGAGAATTCGAACCTCTCCACCGCACCACCCACGCAAACGAAGTTCCACGCGCACCAGACCCAGATCCAGACGCAGCCGCCGCACCAGCCCGGCCGGCAGCACACCAAGTCGTACCCCTGGTCTCCCGTCGACAAGCCTGCACCGCAGCCCACCACCGCCACCGACGACATCTCCGCCCAGGGCTGGATGAAGAAGCGCAAGACCAAGATGCTGCGCCACGAGTGGCACGAGCACCACTTCACGCTCAAAGGCACGCGCCTGACCATGCACAAGGACGCCAACGCCATGGAGGCCCTGGAGTACATCGACGTGGACGACTACGCCATCGCGTGCTCCTCGCTCGCGTCGGGATCGAAGCTCAACGCCGCCTTCAAGGCGATGAGCATCTCGCGCGGCAGCAGCAGCAACAGCAAGGAGAAGAGGGACGAGTCGGCCTTTGCGTTCCAGCTGATCCCGGCGGCCATCGACAAGGGCCTGCGTCTGCGCAAGCGGGAGAGCGCGATGCTGACCCACGGACCGGGCGAGGGCAAGGACAAGGACGCCGCCGCCGCGAAGAACAAGACGCACTATTTTGCGGTCAAGAGCCGAGACGAGCGGATCGATTGGATGAGGGAGCTGATGCTTGCCAAGGCCCTGAAGCAGAAGAGCGAAGGCTACGAGGTTAATGTCAATGGCAACGTGATCTGAAACTGAAAGTCCCTACTTTGGGAGGGGGGGCTGGAGGGGGGCGGAAAAAGGAAAGAACGAGAGACGTAGCTCATTTTTAGGAGGTGGATTCATTGCCTTATACCTTTTTTTTTTTATACTTGTTTACTTCCGAGCGAGTATTCTTCGCTTGGAAGATTATGACGATGACGATGATGATGACGACAGTGATTTTTTCAGCGGGCGGCATTAGTGGGCGTTTCAATTCCAATATGAAGTTTTTTTTGAGGGGAGGGGAGGGGGAGGGGAGGGGGATTCCACGAGCCTGAGCTTCGCTTGAATTTCATTCAGATTGGATTCCACTTTCAGATTGAACTTTGAAATAGAGAGAGCACTCACTCACTCACTCCCTCCCTCACTACTTCCTCCTCCTCCTCCTCCTCGTTTTGTAGATAGATAGATAGTAGATAGAATGCAGGTCTACGAAGATTTGAACACTGAACACTGAACACTGAACGCTGAACGCTGAACGCCGAAAGGATGCAGAAATCCCGAAGTGAAAATGAGAATCGGAAAATAGACAGACAGATAGATAACAATACCCAAGGCGTGACATTGTGATTTGTGCCTCGGAGTGGGTTTTTGTCTGGCTTTGGAGATGGAGGATGGAGGATACAGAGCGCGTACCTACCTACCTAGTACATACAACAAGGGACAGACAGAGGGGACATGAATCGAACGAAGAGATAGATAGGCGAGGGGGCGTGTGGGTTGGGGGGTTTCTGGAGTGGTGATGGAATAAAACGCAGGTGGGATAGGTTACGGTGGATTGTACTGGTTTGGAAAATTGCGAGAGTGGTAGGGAGAGTGGATGGATGAATCCTCGCTCGAGTTGTGATTCGGAGAATCCTCCAGTGTTTTCCAGTCCCGTATGCCCATGTTCGGAGGCTAGCAACGTCGCGCAATGTGTATACTCAGCAGAGTTGAGTTCTCAAGGTACTCTACATACCTTCTTCCGTGCTTCTATATCGTCCCCCGTACAATATTGTACAATCGTGACATCGGCTCCATTGCCCAAACGCCAGGTCAGCTTCCCAATATGCTACAAATCTACCCGTCCCTTCTCAAATCTGGAAGTTAGTGGTCGAGGGCTTCGGCCCCGCTCGATTCGTCACCACCTGCCAGTCGATTGCATACCACCAGCTCTGCGCATACGCCTTCTTGCCTCCCACCCCGCCAGCGCCAACGCCGTAGTCCGCAAGATACACATGCTCCCACGTATTGATGCACAGCACTGGCGTAAGATCGGCTCCCCCAGGCGCGAACTTCCCCTGACTCAAGGGACCATGGGCCCCAACCTGATTCGACGCGCCCTCCCTCTGCAGCCTCCGGATCGATTCCGACACGGTCCTGTCCTCGGTGTTCATGTCCACCGGCTGCTGCCTGTAATGCGCCGCCGGGAATGGCGAGCCCGCCAGATACGTGCACAGCAGGCTGTATTTGCCGCGCGGCGATCGCATCAACCACACGAATCCCGGTCCGAACATGGCGTTCGCGGTGGCGATAAATTCTTTGCGGAGGGTCTCGATGGAGCCGAAGGACTTCTCGAGCTCGAGTCTGAGGATCTCGGGTATGGGTACTATGCCCGTGGAGGAGAGGGACTCGAAGAAGAAGTGGTTGTTGAAAGCCATGGAGGCGTAGTTGAAGATCGGGGCGGATGCGGGGTCGCGGGCGTACCTGATGGCTATGGTCTCGGTTTTTTGGTTGGCGGTTTCTCCTACTTTATGGGGGTCAGTCAACTGTTGATAGAGTTAAGGGGGGTGTTTTTTTTTAAAAAAAAAAATCACATGAAGACGCTCAGGGGCAATCCGATGGGACCAGTCGAGTAGAAGTATACACCGCAAGGAGAAATTTGACATACCAGCTACGAGGTTGAGCTTGTCTATCATCAAGCTCTGGTACTGTGTCCACGCCATATCGAAGCCATGGACCGAGAGCAGTCCTGGAACGCCATCTTTGAACGCAGGGTTAATAGCTGGCACTGAGTGAAGCGATCGTTGGAAGATTCGGAGGCAGTGCCGTGTGCGAGGTAACAGTGGTCGTAGCATGGCGGGCAGAGCAGGGTGATGGTGATGCTGTCAACCCTGCTCGAAATATATTTTGCAGAGTCGCGATGCGATGCCCGCATACTAAGTAAATTGATTATGGTCAAGCCTTATATTTCAGGCTATGACATTTTAGTCCCTCGTATTTCAGGCATTAGATGGCCTGGCAAAAAGTCGGGCAAGAGGCGAGCCGCGAGCCCCGATGCCTCGGTAAGATTGTGAGGATGCTTCCGCTTTTCTCTCTCGTCGCTGAAACGCCCTTTCTTTGCCACTCTACCCAGAAAGCATGAAATATCGTTCTGATAGATTGGTCTCTCTCGAAAGAGAAACGACCTTGGACGCGGTCTGAACTCTGCCAGATAGCTACAATTGCCTGTTGCAGGTGGCAATGGCAGATGCGTACAACCACCATGTGGAAGCTTTTAGAGAAACTGAGTATCCTATGCTTAAGGGTAAATACTGCAGACCACAGCTTCACAAACAATACTAACTTCATCTTCAGACTCGGTTTACCTCGACCATGCCGGGACCACTCTTTATTCGAAGTCCTTGATGGAGAAATACATGTCAGACATGATGTCCAACTTGTATGGCAATCCTCACTCAGCTTCTGCCTCCTCCCAACTATCGACCACTCGAATCGAAGACATTCGCCTGAAGGTCTTGCGCTTTTTCAACGCGGACCCAGAAGAGTTCGACCTTGTCTTCGTCGCCAATGCCACGGCTGGAATAAAACTGGTCATCGAAGCCTTCCGAGAGTGCGAAGGAGGCTTCAACTATGGCTACCATGTAGACGCGCACACAAGTCTTGTTGGGGCTCGAGAGCTTGCCAAAGCAAGTCGGTGTATGGATGATGAGGATGTAGAGAATTGGCTTGCAGGATCGGAATTCCTTGCGTACCAAACTGCAGACTCGAGGGTCAACCTCTTCGCGTATCCTGCCCAGTCGAACATGGATGGGCGCCGCCTACCTCTTTCGTGGACCAAAAGAGCTCAATATGGCCCATTGAACACTTCAACATATACCCTCTTAGATGCATCTTCGTTAGTCTCCACGGCTCAGTTAGATTTGAGTAATGCAAGTATGGCCCCAGACTTCACGGTCCTGAGCTTCTACAAAATATTTGGCTTCCCGGATCTTGGTGCCTTGATCGTCCGAAAGGAATCCGGTGCTATATTGACGGGACGGAAATACTTTGGTGGTGGAACTGTGGATGTTGTACTATGCAATAAGGAACAATGGCACGTTCCCAAATGCGAATCTCTTCACGAGAGTCTCGAAGATGGTTCCCTACCATTCCACAACATCATGGCATTGGATGCTGCGATTGACACCCATGAGAAACTGTACGGATCAATGGAGCAGATCTCTCGGCACACAGCTTTTCTGGCCCACAAGCTATACGACGGTTTATCTTCGCTACGGCATTTGAACTCGAATCCTGTTTGCACAATCTATTCCAAGGGTTTTGCTTCGAAGTCATTCGCCAGCATGCAAGGTCCTATCATTGCGTTCAACCTGGTGAATGGTAACGGGGCCTGGGTCAGCAATACCGAGTTTGAAAAACTTGCTGCTGTTCGGAAGTTCCACATCAGAAGTGGCGGACTTTGCAATCCGGGAGGTATTGCTGCTTGTCTCAACCTTGAACCGTGGGAGATGCGAAAGAACTTCTCTGCTGGTTTCAAGTGCGGAGCCGAGACAGACATCTACTCTGGTAAAATTACTGGTGTGATCCGGGCTAGTGTTGGAGCAATGAGCACTTTGAAAGACGTTGAATCCTTCCTATCATTCGTGGAGGAGTTTTACGTCGAGAGGACTGTCCCTGCAGCCGCTCCAGATTCTCCATCACGCCTGCGGTCGAAGAGGCTATTTGTAGAAAGCTTGACCATCTACCCGATTAAGAGCTGCGCTGGCTTATCTATCCCAGTCAACACTGACTGGGAAGTACGCCCGGAAGGACTCGCATGGGACAGAGAATGGTGTCTTGTCCACCAAGGTACCGGACAAGCATTGAGTCAAAAACGGCATCCGAAAATGGCTTTGATACGCCCAGTTATTAACTTCCGGGAGGGCGTTTTAGACATCCGATATCAAGGCTCTACAGAAAATATCACGGTGCCCTTGTCCTCTGATCCGAAGTTCTTCGGATCGGCTGGTAGTGCGCAACCTTCCCGAGTCTGTGGCGATGCCATAGTTGCTCACACATATTCAAAACACGAAGTCAACGAATTTTTCACGAGAATCCTGGGTGTCTCCTGTGCGCTCGCCCGATTTCCAGCTGGAGGATCAGGCCTGAAATCCAGGCATGCGAAGGCACACATGCAGATATATCAGAAGCCGAGGCTGATTTCTTCTCCACTTCACCCAGCAGGAGTCGGACCTCTCCCAACTCCCCCAGACTCAGACACCGAAGTCCAGAAGAGGCCAATCCTTCTCTCAAACGAGAGTCCAATTTTGGCAATCAACAGAGCAAGTCTCGATGCACTGAATGAGGAAATTACCAAAGCTGGCGGGAAGCTTGCCTCTCCCTCGGTTTTCCGAGCCAACATTGTGATGTCGCCTTTGGAATCTGGTACCAAAGAGCCATACAGCGAAGATCATTGGACTACTTTGCACATCGGGCCACAGAGGTTCCAGGTGCTGGGCTCGTGCCGGCGGTGCCATATGATTTGCGTAGACCAAGATACTGCGCAGAAAAACGAGGAACCATTCGTTACTCTAGCAAAGACACGCAGGTTCGAGTCTAAGATATTTTTTGGGTCTCACATGTGTCATGTTCCGTCGAAAACCCTCACGAAAGAGAGCCAGTATCCCACGATACGAGTCGGCGATGTTGTGACAATAGGTGCTGAGAGTTGATAGGGCATTGGATAATGACTGATCCCTATTTTCAAATCTTGATTTTCTTCTCTCTCTCAACTCTTGTCTCATCTGCTTGTTGATGGGCGATATATCCCTGATATAAGGAATCTATCTAGTGGTTGGCGGCAGATAATTTTGATATCTGTCGACTCGATCTCATGGCAGTCGCAACTCGCCAACAAGGTGTCTGGCTACCTAATCGTCGGCTCGCTTGGGTGGGTCTCCTTACAGCCCTCTCGGTCTCAATCGGTATAAGCGATTGCATTACGAAAGCGAATGCGTTACGAACCGAGTATGTTTGGATATATTCGAAATAACTTGACAACGAATAAAGCTTCAATATTAAAACTCCTATATTTAAAAAAGAGCACGATTGCGTCGATTTAAGCATTCAGGTTCCAATAGTGTAGCTTCTTTCGTTGTTAAGCCATAATCGATGGAAGCAAAGGCGAAACGCAGGCTGTAAGGAGGCCCAGTGCCCACCTAAGCGAGCCGACGATGACTTGTAAAATGCGACAATCACATCTGACATAACAGCCGCATCCTTGCTCTCACAGTACCATATCGCTCAAGCGTTTTGATTGGACAGTAGATCTCCCCGATTCTCTAGGCTAACTAACTAACCGAGGAATTGCTTTCGAGGTATTTAATCGTTATTTGTCCCGACCCATCAACCTCTTCATGTTCCGGTCTTTGATCTGCAATTGCTCTTCGAATTGACATTCTATTTGGATGCTTTCGTCGCATACTACAATGTCTACCGGAGTTGGTATGAGCTCTTGCTGTCTCTCAGGCAAGGTACATGATGGTACTCCTACAGGCAAAATTGAGACCATCGGACATGTCCAGACATACGTTGCTGCTCCTTCAGATGGATCCAAGGCCAAGACAATTGTCTTCATTGTAGACAGTGAGATTCCATCCCATCACCATGAACACCCGATCACACTCAGACTTATCATACATCTCCAGTCTTCGGCTGGGAGTTCAAAAATGTTCGTCTGCTAGCAGACAACTATGCCAAAGCCGGGTTCTACTGCTACATTCCCGACGTACACCAGGGCGATTCTCTTCCCCTCGACTTCCTCAATTCGGTTGAGCCGCCACTCAAGACCCGCGAGCAAATGACCATGATCGAGAAGACGAAAGCCACAGCCGTCGTCGGTACGACCTTTCCTCCATGGCTCATCAGGCATAGCGAGGCCATCACCAAACCCATTATTGAGAACTTCTTCAAGGACGTCCGCCAGATTCCTGGAACCGGGAAAGTCGGTGCCCTCGGCTTCTGCTGGGGAGGCCGATACGCCATTCTCGCCGCGCACGACGTCGCTGATGCTGCGTATGCGTGCCATCCATCGCTGGTGGCCATCCCTGGCGATTTTGAGGCAGTCACCAAGCCGCTCAGTTTGGCTGTGGGAGACAAAGACTCGTTGCTGGGTATCGCTGCTGTTGGGCAGATCCAGGATTTGATGGCGAAGAAGACGGCACTGCCGCACGAGTTGAGGATTTACGAAGACCAGGTCCATGGATTTGCGTTAAGGAGCGACTGGAGCTCCGAGAAGGATAAGAAGGCCATGGATGATGCTGAGAAGCAGGGGACGGAGTGGTTCAGCAAGCACCTGGCTTGAGCGAGTGTTGATCGCTGAGATGAGCGGCGGACATAATGGTATTGCAATGTCACCCACAGTATTTGACAACCTCGCATGAGGCTGATAACTTTAATCTTCCCGGTAACGTTCAGGTTGATTTCAGCACTTCTGTCCCGGGACTCGAGTGCTGTTATTGTTCACGTTGGAATGCATCCCTTCAGATACACACCCATTCCAGCCCCACCATTTCTCGGCTGCCATTTTTGTGATTTTGTTGACTTCTAGGCAGTTCAACCCGAGTCAGGTCACACCAATATCCGTTGCGACTATTTCTTTTCGTGAAATGTCTCCAATCAGGAGGGCGCCGGTAGGGCCAACGTCATCTTCATTTACAACATCGATCGGGTACGACCAATTCCAACACCCGGAGGAGTCAACAGATACCTCCATCTCACGGTAATCATGAAATCCGGCGCCTTCTCGTCGTGGGTCATCGGCCTCTGTAGCCTGACCTTTGTCGTCGCGGCACCTTCTCCCCAGCTTGGCCAACTTGGACCTCGTAGTCAGGAATCGTCTCCAAACCCCATCAAGTCAACTTATCCGAGCGGCGTCACTGGTACGTTCAACAGTACCATTGTGGTAAGTGGGATTTTCCTGGTCCGAGTCGTGAACCCCGGCTCACATCAGCAGGTTATTCCAATCCCGTTTTCGGTAGCTCGGTCTGTTATTCCTCAGCAATGGGGCATCAACGAGAACGCATATCGCGAAATCCTTCCTGGCTTTCCCAGAGACTCATATCCTGTAAGCGAGAACTTCTCTCAGAATAGCGCCACAAGCTGACAATCGCACAACAGCTCGTAGTAAGATCAGGTGTCGATCATGACGTTGGTGTGGCCAGCCTCAACTTCGCTTTGGATGACTTCCAGGTAATATAGATCCCCGATATTCGCCACCCAATATGCTGAATCAAGCCAGTCTGTTCACGTCTTCTTCCCTTTCGTTGATCTGCTTGGAGATGGGTACTCGAGCTTCAACTACAACAAGTATCTCCTCCTAACATATTCGAACGTGTTGGCTATCGCCGGCGCGGGCACGGATGGAACGTAAGCTTTACCCTGACTTCCGGCGTTGTATTCTGGAAAGCGAAATGGTGTAACACCAAGGCGATGTTCGAATAGGATCTTGAAAGGACGACCGGACTCGCTAACTCATGTTCAGCATACCTGTCCCATCCACCTTCAAGCCGAACCTAGAGGCCTACGCATATTCTTCTTCCCAAAGCTACCCAGGGGAGATCTCCTTTGATGCCTACACCACCGCATTTGCCACTAATGCAACCTCCCCCTCCCACCTAACAGTCTCGCAAAAATACACTCCAACCTGGGAAGTCGGTCCTTGGCCAGTAAACTTCTATATTAACGTTACCAACCAGCCAATATTCACTCGTGGCATCAACTGTAAGAACAGGCTCTTATACTGCAGATCTGACTCATAACGTTCCTCAACCCCCAAGCCATTGTATCCTGACGCAGTACTGATACCATCACAGGTGACAACCAGATCTTCTTGTACAACACGACGCTGTCGACCGGCCAGAACGCTCCTCGTGGCATCAAGGGGTCGGTCAGTCTAAGTGCGCCCCTACTGCCTAATGACTCGACCTTCCACAATATTTTTGGCGTCAAGGTCGACACAGCTTTCCTCGAGAAGAATGGCGTCCCATGCTCGTCTCTCAAAGGATACCATGGGACTGGACCGGGCGATCGCGGATCCGCATAAGGGACTGGCAATCACCACGCTCGTGACTTCGGTACCGTGGGGGAGTCGAGAGAGGGGGAAAAATCGAACGAGTCTGCCGGTGAATTTCACGAGGTCGACACGGCCGCGCTGTAGCGCGGTGCCGAAGGTCATCATCGGGCTTCGCATCAGTGGATGATGGACAAGAGTTTGATATAGCACGGGATCCTGCAAGTCAACCGGCGAAGTACTACTGTACTCACAATGGAGAGATGATCACTGGATATGGGCAAGTGGAGGTATCATCAAGATTCACCCTACACACTTGACCCCTTCAAACCTCTAGATCTCTAGATCTCTAGATCTCTAGATCTCCACCGCTAATGCATTATATGCGTTATACTGCTAGCGTACCAAGGTCAGTCTGTGAAGAGCCCCATCTTGCGAATCGCATCCGAAGGTTCTAGTTGTGTCTATGTCTACTCCATGAACAGTCCCTCTACTCAAGCGAGTCGCCCGGGCCACCACAGTCGCCCGACAACCCAGAAGTCCAGCTCTTCCTGCCCGGCCCAGAGCCAGGCATTTCACATGAGGGCCGACAACCAAATCCATCTCTGTCCACGTACATTGCTTGCTTGCTTGCTTTTGCCATTAACCTTCACGGGTGGATGATCTTGATTCGTATATTTTATGGTATTGATCACTGCGCAAGCAACAACTACACACCCTTTTCCAAAGAGCCCGTTATGGCAGGACCGAACCCCTAATGCTGATCTACCCAATACGTCTTCCATCTCTCTCCCTCTCTTTCTGATTCACCTGGCACGTCTATGCCATTCGCTGTGCTACCAGAGACCCTCGTCGCTCACTCGGTCGACAACGACAACGACGATGTTGAAAGACGTCCGCAGGTAGAAAGTCGGCGCACTGACTATTGTGTAACGGCATGCATGTTTATTCACTTTTGAAAGGGAAGATGTATATATATATATATATAAAAGGAGGGGTGAGAACGATAGAAAGATGGCCCTTTTTTTAAAAAAAATAATAATAATAATAATATTAATCATAATAAATTTAAAAAATCGATAAAATCCCTTTTGCTCAATTTTCCCTTCTTTTTTCGGGGGGGGGGGCTGAAAGAGGGGTGTGTGTGGTCTTTCCTTTGGGTGAATAGTAATAGTAATAGTAATAGATGGATATTGGATATACATGCTGGATGGATGGATAGATGGATGGATAGATATGGATACGCGGGATAGAGGAGGGGGAAGAAGAGGAAGAAGATCAAGGGTATCTATCTATCCATCTATCCATCTACCGTCCCATTCTGGATCTTCTTTTTCTTCCGGGGGGTTCCTCTTCTTCCCTCTCCTCTCCTCCCTCTCCCTTCTCCCTCTCACTACATTTTCCATTTACTTATAGTAAAAACATTTTTTTTAAAAAAAGAAGTCATCTGTTATCTCCATACACGACGACGACGAAATCTGGTATCATTTTTTCCTCTTCTTCTTCTCGTTTATCTTCTATCACCTACCCACCCACCCCTTCCACCACCTTTATCTTCCCTTCTCTCATACATTCAATTCACAAAAAGTCACACACCGACCAACCAACCGACCAGTCCCAATCCCGATCCCTTTCTCGCTCAGACCCCATCCATCATCCCCCACCCCCCTCCGTCGCTCACTATTCATACAATACATACACACAGCAACCCCCCCCTTCACCCGCATCCAGGTCCGGCACGCATATCTATCTGACTGTGTAGGAAGGTACGCTTCGCCGGGAAAGGGAAAAAAAAACCACTGGAAAAAAAAACTCCCGCGTGCTCTCTCTCTCTCTCTCTCTCATACACACACACACATATCAAAACATTACTCCGACACCGGCACCATTCGCATCGCTCAAGAAGATAAGAGTCCAAGCCCTCGTTCGCATCGCTCAAAAAAAGATTAGAGTCCAAGCCCTCGAATAGAAGAAGCGGACCCGAAAGTCTCAAAAAACGTCCCCCTCTGCAGAGGGTAGAACCGGGAAGGAAAAAGGTAGAACAGATCCACTGAGAATGAAGGATGCCTCCTTCCTGTACGCTTTACCTGCGCCATACTCTGCTTCGAAAAGAGTGTAACGCCAACCCAAGCCACTGCGAAGGAATCTAGATAACCAACCCAAAATAACGCCAAGATATATGCCGAGGAGTGGAGTGCTTCACTTCCACGGTTTCTTCTCATGCCCATTACCGCTAGTGCCCATCCGGCTATTGGTTCTCATGGCGCTCCCAACTCTCACCTGCGGAGTCTCCCGTCCCGTGACATTCGAGCCCGAGCTCTGTCTCCCCCGGGGTTGAGGCAGCAGACTCACGCGTCTGTTCGTAGCCAGGGAGCTCATGGGTCTTGAAGCTTTCGAAAGAGGACTGCTGAAGGTATTCGGGTCGCTGGCTTGAGGCTGGAACGACGCCCGTCGGTTTGTTGAGTTCGCGAGATTGGACGTGGAGCTTTTGGATGTGAGCATGCGGGGGCGGGTAGGCAGCGAGTTTTGACTGAGGACTTGCTGGGAGTAGGGACCTGGGCTGGTGCGGCGGGTGCCAGCACGGGAATGTGATTTGCGTGAGGGTGTGCTTTCTGGTGCGGGCGAAGCCGTATTTTCGCGGCTAAGCGGCGACCGTAAGGGTAGTTTGGAGTCGACCGAAAGGTGGCGGTTTGCGTGGGCGGAAGGTGGCTTGGTCCTGACATGGGGACTTGGGGTTGTCAAGCTCAAGGGCTTGAAGTTATGGCCAGTCAAATTGTCTTGAATGATAACACTCGAGTTCCATCGTGGCCTTCCGTCCGGGTTGTGAGTCGACGATGGTCGTGGAAGACGATTTCCTGTTGGCGTAGCCGAGCCTTGTCTGGAAGAAGCCGGTGAAGGAGAGGCACGTGTGACAGGAGCAGCAATAGTCGAAAGTCGGTTGGTCAACCCCTTTCGAGGCAGCTGGCTTGCACCAGGGTTGCTTACTCTCCGGGCACCTGGCTTTGGAAGGCTGCTGCCAGAACGGACTTTGCCGTTCTTCACAGGTGTCGCCATGTCTCCAACGCCGCTGTTAACACCACTCAGCACCACCGAAGAGGCTGGCGAGCTGCCTGGAGTGTCATAGTGGCTTCCAAGCGTGGATCGGTCGTTCGAGAGCATGCTCGAAATCGAGTCGCGAAGTTGCTGGTTCTTCTTGTCCGCTTGTATTTCCTCGAGACTCGTATCAAGCTCGCTCATCTGTTCCTTTAATGCATCCCATTTGCGATGCATCTCGGAATGAAGACGTAAGATCTCCCCATTAACCGTAAGGCGATCTTTCACTCCCCTCTCGATGATGGACAAGACACGCTCAATAGCCGGTCCATAGTGCATCTTCTTTGCCTCGTAACTTTCAATCTTCTTACCCATCGAACCTGGGCTCTGAAGATGAATTCCGGATTCCACTACCTCCTTGAGCTTGGTGACACTTCGATTAACGGACTCATACATTTTCTGTGCCTGTCGACCAGCCCCTCGGAAGACTAGAACCCAACGATCTTCGCCTAACTCTCTTCTAAGAGATTCAGCATCCTTTTCAAGATTCTTCCAGCTGCCCTCTAGCCCAGCCCGTCGGGTTTCAAGCTCTTGGCAAGCTGTAGGAAATATCTTTTCTGCTCGGTGATGGAAATTTGATAGCCTCATTGGGAGAAAGTCCAGGGAAGCTCGTAAAGGCTGCATTCTTGCAAATAAAGCCAGCAAGCTTGAATCATCCTGAGATGAAAGGGCTGCAGGATGAGGGGAGCTTGGACTAAGCGGGAATGATGTTCCTGGTACGCTGAAACGAGTGGCCACAGCCAGTTTCGTCTTTGACGGGGGAGTCTCTTCTACTATGGTCTGCTCAATAAGTCAGTATGTTGTGTATCCGATTGTCCAACGGGAAACAGTGTGCAAGGTGTGCTAAGCCACGGGGCGCTGGAGATTCACTGACCTCAAGTTCGTTCAAATCCACTCCCCCATCTGCACCTGTTTCTGCCATCAAGGATCTGTGTCTCTTCTCCTCCATCTCGAATACCAGTCGGGCCAGCACGTCCATTTCGTTTCCAATATCTCCCAAGACGATATTCCAAAGCTCCTCCCATTCCATGGCAAGCTCTACAGAGTTCTTGACCCCTTTCAATGTCCGTCGAATATTCTCCCACTCGGAGAGGATGGTCTCGACCTGTAGCACAACCTTCCTGAGCTCGTCGGCAGAGACTGAAGCTATGTCTGGCCGTGATTGTAGCGATTCGATTGCTGAAACATAAACATTAATGAGTTCCGTAAACCTGACTATGGCATTATCGACTTCCTCCAATCCTTCTCTCCCGCCCGCAGCAGCCCATTCGACATCATCCTCGCCGTCAAGACCTGATACTACTTCGGATGCCTTCGATATCCAACTCCTGATTTGTTCCGCGGCTCCCATCAGTGCCTTCGAGGCAGCTACGGAGGTTGGGATGGCGGAAACCTTTGTGGAGAGCGACTCGGCATCGGGGAGCTGTAGCGAGGTCAATTGAGCCAATTGGCTGGCAAAGGAAACCCGGGAGAGTGTGTAGATAGAGCCCGGCCGCTGGAGCCGAAATGGATTGAAGTACGAAGAGGAATCTGCCTGGAATTCGCCAGGCGCCGTACCTCCCGGAGGAGTGTCTTTGGCTATAGGCGGCGGCGGCGTCTCATCATCCGGAGGTATATCTCTCTCGATGTGAGCCTGCTTGGTATCCAACATGGCCTGCGTCCCATTCCCATTGGTGTGTTCAGGCAGCCGGGACTTCTGCGAGTCCATGTCAATCTCCTCCGTACGTGTGCTCATTCCCTCCTCTCGCTCACTCGCCGCAGATTCAACTCGAGATTGTGTTCCTTCTTCAAAAACGCTCAGATCAGCCTGCGGTAGAAATTCGATGGGCGGAATCTCGTTGTAACTCGTGAAGCTTCCGCCTGTAACTTGAGGTGTGAGGTGTCCACTGGTGCCGCTCCATGCACGTCCGCGCGAGTGAATGCTAGGAGACTGCAAAGCTTTCACGGAGTTGGCGCGGTGAATGAGGTCGAGTTTCTGAATCTGGTCCTCAGGGATCCGTCCAATTCGATCGTGGGTAGGGGAGCGACACGGCGTGGATCCATTCGAGTTTTTGCCAAAGCCCAAGGCCCTGAGGCGTGCAGCAAGGCCAGGGGATGGCTTGCGCGCCTGTCGTGGTTTACGATTGCTATCGCTCAAGCTCGCAAGTTGTTGATTGATGATGTTGTTGTCAAGTCGATGATGTTGCAAGGGTTGGGTGGCCGTCAGAAAATGAGAGTCTGTTCGCGCATTGGGGCCAGCGGTTGTCATTGGCATAGGTGTGTGAAAGGATCCGGGGGCGAGTGGAGATTGCTGATCTGTCGCGATGGGAGATACGAGAGGAATGAAGGGGGAGGGTGGCTTTGTTTTGTTTTGTTGCGGATCCGATAGAGTTGAGTTGAGTTGAGTCGAGAAGAGAAGCCAGGGAGTGGGAGTGGTAGTGGTAGTGTTCGAGTTGGTATTGATATTGGAGTTGAGGTTGGTGGGGTTGCTTCGTATTTCTGGTGATTCACGCAAATGTTTGGGGTGGCAGTAACGACGACTTGAGATCAGGGGTTGGTCGAGAGCGTCAGAGACACCCGTTGGCTCTTTGGTACATACAATGCTACACACTTGACAACTCCGTACTTCTTATGTTGAGGGACTACGACGACAGTCCCAATCAGATCGGAGCAGGCAGAGGACCCAAGCTAACCAACACCTTTCATCGATCCAGGCAATTCCGCTACTCTAGCAAGACTCTTCCGTGTTATCTAGACTAGATCGTAAGAACAATAGCTCACCTAGGTACCTACTACTCAAAAGCGGCGACATACACGGCGAATTGGTAGGGCGAAGAAGACGGCGCTGGCTTTGATCTAAAATAGCACCATCTTGAAGATTAAATGGAACGTCAACCCATGTCCCCACGAACCACGTTTCAGCCCAGGAAGAGATAAATCTTGACGTCTTCACATCTCCACATCCATCTCCGTCTATACCGAGCTGTATATACCGACCTATACCTCATTAACGAACATGAAAAAAAAAAGAAAAGAAAAAAAAAAAAACCCTCCAATCCCAATCCCAAACTCAATCCCAAAACCAAACCCAATCCTTTCCCAGATTGCCACCCATTCACTCCCTCCCTCTACTCCCTCCCTCTACTCCCTCAGCTAGGTATAAGCAGCCCACTAAACGTCGTCCACGCCTTTGATTTGATCCTGATCATGACTTAAATTTCGATCCTGTTAATGACCTCTGTCGATCCTATCTATCCTACCATCACCAATCAGAGAATTGCTCTTCGAAAAAGATTTCATTCCTTTCCCATTCCCAAGCGGGAGGCGTTGCAGCTAGAATAAACAAGCAAGAAGCACCGCTGATGGTTGTGGTGCTACTTACGCTCGAGCTACCGCTACCTACAAGTACCGGAAGCCAAAGTCCTTTCCCCCGTGCTAGTGAGAATGTGACAGAGGGTCGAGAATATCAGACCGACTTGTAGATTAGTGCTTGTTGATACGTTCGGTAACGTTGAACTGGGTTTATATTCCAATGCTTCGCTACTGGTCATGTACCAGAGAACCCGAATTATAAAAACAGATTTCTCCTTGGTGTGAGATCTTTATGCTGTTATCTACATCGGTGGCTTTCCTTTCCTTTACTAGGTATCCCCGCTCTGTATGGACGACCTACAAGCAAACCCTGCCGACCTATTACCATTGCCTACTTCGTGTCAAAAACACCACTGACCTCAACCACCAGGTTAAGCATCGTCGACACGCCCCAGAGCATTATCAGCCCCCACCCGATCTTCCTGCTCATGACCCATTTGTTAAGCGGAACAGCAATCAACAGCCCGACAAGCGTGATCAGCAGGGTGGCAGCGCTGATCATCAACGTGCTGCTGACTTCAATTTGATACGGCTTGTAATTGATTTTCTTGTTCGGGTGCTTGGCGTGCTTGTGGTTCGCACCTTTGATGGTCATATACATCCCACTGAGGCCAATGCCGAGCAGGATATTGAGCATGGGACCACCGAAACAAGCTGAGAGAGCCATGACTGGGTATCCAAGACGAGCGACTGTGATATCGGCCACTAAATCGCCGAGAGAATTGCCGACGGCGAAAATGGTGAGTCCAAGAATGGCGTCTGAAATTCCAAGAATGACACCGATGGCTTTGAGAGCGCCAACGACTTCGTTGGCGATGGTGGAGATCCAGGCGATGGCGACGACGAAGCCGAGGAAACAGAGAATGAAACGGTATTTTGGAGGTTTACTTGGCGAAGTGGTAAGCACTAGGATCCCGAAGGCGACGAGGGAGCCCAGGAGAGAGTACACGACTAGCCGGAATAAAAGTCGTGAATTTCCCTCGGCACTGTTGGCCCAGACAATGATGACCACAAATAATGGAGCAGTGAAAATTTGGACTGCTACGAGCCAGCGATTCCAGTCCTCGGTTGGCACTGCAGTTGGGCTGTTTGATGGATTGCCTTCCCGGGAAACCGACTTGTGCTGAGGGTGTAAGTGGGACTGATGGTGATGATTCTCTGCAGAGACAGCTACGGCTGCTGTGTTGTGCCCACTGTATCCTCGAGATCGCGAGTGATGTGACTCCGTCGCCCGTCGATAACGTATCCATTCTGGTTCGTTCTCCGGTGATTGGCTGTTTGTTGTTAAGAGAGAGATGGAATTACTATGCGATCTAGACATCGTCCGCACGGATGGGGTCCCTACGCCAGGCACAACCTGTTCCTCTTCGTCGTCCTCAGATTCGGACTCGACAACTGGAAGAGTGATCGCCAGAAGAAAGATGCTAGGTGCTGATATCACACCCACGAACTTGTCCCAGATCGACTTCTCTCGCCATGTACACAGTGTGGGAAAGAGGATGGAGCCCATGGTATACGGACTAGGGAGATATCGGTATGGCCACCACCAGATTGGCTTTTCCTGGTAATCCAGGTCGTGACTACCGTAGACTGAATCAGGGCCCATTTCTGGTTCTGGTAGAATGATACTTGGAGCCATTGAGCTCATAGCTGACATCGGTGCAGGCGAGTCCGTGAAGGCTGGGAACTGAATGATGGGTGATAATGTTCGGGTATAAGAGCTTTCCCTAGATGAGCTTCCCGGGATCTGGAGTCGCGGCCTTTCAACAGATCTAGATCTCATATTTGGTGTTTCATGAGAAGAGTCCCCAAGTGTCTCCTGGTCTTTAGAGTAGTCTAGCCGAAGATGTTTTGCGCCTGGAAACCCCTCGTCCGGTGGTGCAAGCGTATCACGCCTGGAACGTTCATTTGAAGGAGCCGGACTGGGATCTCTAACAGATGGCGGAGGGGATACAGAGAACGTGGGCGACGCTGGAGGCCGTCCCGATGATGTCGTTGAACTTCGGGCCGGTTCTGGCTCCGGCACCTGAAGATGTGTTGGGAAGGTTGGAGTTGCAGCAACGACGCCAATGTTTGGGATGGATGCCACACTGAAAGCAGCAGGGTCTGTTGATTTGGTTCTAGCTGCATCGTTCATGGAGACAGCCCTTGTCCTGACAGGGAGCGACTTGAGCCCTGAAGATGCATTACTGACATTTACTGACGTGATACCGGCATCTGATGAGTTGTCGCTATATCGCTCTGACCGTACCCCACTCCCTCCTGAGGCCGAGCTGCCTACTTGCGCTAGGAAGCCCGCCGTCGGATCATCAGAATACCGACGAAGATGGATAGGCCTACCACGTGATCCTCGAGTTTTTTGCAGCGAGGAGAGGACTGACCTAAACTCCAGGGCACCTACTAGACTTGGGCGGATCGGAGTGATGGTGTTCCTGCGGCTCCCAGACGGTCTTGTGACTCGCATACTACTCGCCATCTCGGCCGCTAGCTGCATCCCTCCCTCCCCGTCTTCGTCACTGTCATCTTGTGGTCCCAACAGCGGACTTCTTCCGCCATCTTCCAATGCTGCAAAGTCTTCGACATCTCTATATCGCCTCCCTCCTGTTCCTGTCGGAGCTTCCTCGTCATGGTCAGCTTCTTCGGTGACCTCTATCTCCTCATTCGCCATTGCAAGATACTGACCACGAGCGGCTGCTTCGCGCTCGCGGTTTTGCCGGCGCCGTGTGAGGTACCAATGCCATACCACAACCACTACCACGTAGAAAACGTAGAACGCAACCATGACGCAGCATTCCCATAAATGTAGAGCACCATCGGCTAGGAACAGCATACTGAAGCTGGCTGCAACGATAAAGAACCCGACGTCTCTAACGAAAGTCTTCTTCCCGACCTTGAACTCCCGCACCAATGCCATTGAGCCTGCTACGACAGCAGTGATGAATCCTGCGGCTCCTATCAACTCTCCGACAGCCAGACTTCCACTGTGGGAGCTCATCGCTGCAAAGGTTGAAAAGACGTCGGGGCTTCCGTTGCCGAACGCCAGAAAGGTAACTCCCGCCATGCTCTCGCTCATTCCCAGTATGGATGCGATGGTGCTCAGATTTATGCAGAAAAAGTCCGAGGCAGCGATGCCGATCGTTGTGAATAGAAGTGCAAGCCATAGCGACAGTATTGCGAAGGCGATTGGCTGAGCATTTTGGAGGTCGCAATAGTATAGAGACAGGTACGAGAAGAGGCCCGCTTCTTCATCTGGGCAATTCGCTTTGATGAAGGCGCATTTATCTTGCGCATGGTGGACCAGACGACACTACAGGGCCGAAAATGATTAGTCTACAGGCCCATCTGGAATGGTAGGAGGATGATTCCTGGGAATATTGGGCGTGACTGACCTCCTCATCCCTCCTTACGAGTCTGTGAACGTCCAACTCAGCCAACGCTCTCCGTTGTGCTACCCCGTATTGCGCACCATGACGATATCTAGCAGACTGGTCGGCGACGAGACTTAGGACGGCAAACAGAGAGACCACGAGTACGGTGATGTAGAATGCGCGGAATCGGAATCGGAATCGGAATCTTCTGGGAGGTCCCGGTGTGCGATTCGGCATCGTCGTGGGCGATGGTTGTCGCATGGTCCCCCACGCATGGTCTGCAGGAGAACGACGGCGGATGATTGATTGATTGATTCTATGCAGGTGCGATTACTGGCATTACTGAAGCCGGGGGAGAAGGAGTAGGAGTAGGAGTAGGGTGAGAGAGGACGAGATGGCCATGGGTGGATAGGGGCGAGGCCGAGGAGGGCTTTCACGCATTTTGTTAAGTGCTTGCTTGGTTGGACATTAATCAAGTGATGCTCTGTTTCGACTAAGCCACCTCACCTCACCCGGACCAAAAAGCACCATGACGGAGGCAGCAGGGGCAAGATCTACCTACCTATGGGGCTTGACAGGTACTTAGAGGAAAGGTACCAACTATCGATAGGTATTTGATTGCCAACTACGGTACGGATAGAAACGTCGCACGTCGTACGTCACCCGTGTCAGGGAAGATGTCCCCGAGTCGAGGAACTGATTCAGGTGAAATTCGCATGTTAGCAAGGAATGATAAAATGATATTCAAGGGTACTCCGTAGTCAAGCCTTCATAGCGGTAGGTAACAAGATGGCCGTACGGCTTCTGCGCCGCTGCGCCGCAGGACAGCAGCTACGTAGTACTTACCAGTACGTAGTGAGTATACGGTAGCCGAACATGCACCCGCCACATTCTGCCTATTATCCTGGTTGCCCGGCGCGGGTGTTTCAAAACAAATCGCGTCCGAAAGTCAACACCGAATTTCCATCACCAACCACCAAAATCAACACCAACACCAACGCACACTCGCAACGACAACCCTCACGATGCCTCGAGTTGCGCAAAACCCGCGTGGATCCAGTAACGGTCGCTCCGTCTCTGGATCCCTCGCCGCATCCCCTTTCAAATCGCCAGTCAAGTACGATCGATCCTTTGACGGCTCCAATCCGAAAAAGCCCTTGTCTAACACTCACCCAGAATCCCTCTCAACGACGACGCACAGGAGAAGGCGAAACGGTTGCAATCGCGGCATGCGCTGCACGATATGCAGATGAATCAGATCAAAGCTGCCGCATCCCCTATGCGCAAACTGAGCAACTTCGAGCGGGCGGGCAGTTCCTCGCCGTCATCTAACCCCAAGACACCGCGCCGAACCCTGGGAAACAGGGACGATCTTGAGGGAGGAGTGATGATTGTCGGGGGAACGGCGGTGACGCCCATGAAGCGCGTACCGCTGCTGGCCAATTTTGAGGAATGGATGAAGATGGCTACGGACAACAAGATTAATGCCGCCAACTCTTGGAACTTCGCCCTGATCGATTACTTTCATGACATGTCCTTGCTGAAAGAGGGCGATGGTGTCAATTTTCAGAGAGCCAGTGTGACCCTGGACGGATGCGTCAAGATTTACACCAGCAGAGTCGACTCGGTGGCTACGGAAACGGGAAAACTTCTCAGCGGCCTGGCAGACGGCGGGAACAACAAGAAGAAGAAGGGCGAAGGCGATGAGGGAGAAGAAAGTGAAGAGGAGGTTGAGGACGAGGATGGAGTTGTGAGGAAGAAGCCGAAGAAGCGGGTGAGTCTGCTATACTTTTTCTTGGGTTCTGCGATCGATGCTTTGCGGTATTATTCATGTCAGTGGTTGTCACGGCGGCAGTGATGGTGTCCGGGGGCCATGGGCAAGATGGAATCGCAAGCGCGATTTAATCGGACTCTAGTAACCTCTACTTTGTTTTCCGAAAAGAATGCTGTCGTTATTCCTTTCCATAAAACCGAAAACCCCATATCCTGGCTTGCTCTGAGAGGCCGGGCATAATCCCATCCCGAATCTGTTGGCGACGATGCATTTTCTCAGTCGTTATAAAAAACGTCACATACGAGCATCGACGGAGGAGAGGCCTCAGATATGCACTAGCGAATGCCTGCTGTCGTATTTTTTTATGGACTTTTTAATTTCTACAAGGTTGCCCTTCTTGGGTAGCCTTAAGAACGGATGGGGTCCAAAAATTTACTGGTGAAATATTTGGTTAAGGCTTCACTGAGCTTCTCTGAGCACCTTTTTGTGCATCAGTGCCAGGGTTTGCAGCTCCCTCCGTCCGTCACGCTACGTGGGCCCGGCCAGGACCGCCAGGGGTTAGTCCCTGCGCCTCGCACACTGGCCAACATAAGGCCGATTTCGACATCCCTTTGTATCAAGCAGCCTTCAAGCAGCATCTTTGATGGTCTAACGGTCATGATTTCCGCTTGTCATAGACAAGTCGCGGGAGATCGGGGTTCGACTCCCCGTCAGAGAGTTGAGAATTACTCTAGAGTTCATGTCCCCAAGCATTCGCTTGGACTCTTTTTGCTATTTTCCCCTCGTCTTTCAATGTGGCCATTGGATTAGTCAGTTCCGCATCTACATCGCACTGAATCTGGGGACTCCTGCAGTAAAGTTTTGAGGTTCTGAGAGGGCTCAAAAATTCCGAGTAGTCGGGTGCCAGCTTTTGTTTTTTCGGTTTCCCGCAAAACCTTTTCTGCTTGCCGTGGACCGAGGCCCACTTCGCATACTCCTCCATTCCAATTCGCTTGCTTTCTTGTCAACATCCTCCGAAACCAACCATCTAACGCATGGGCAGGCACAACGCTCTTCTGAAGCAACATTAGCAAGTTCCTTCTCAGCCTTGCAGTTGAAGAAATTTGAACTCGAGTTCTCAGTCGACCCGCTATTCAAGAAAGCCTCAGCAGATTTCGATGAGGGAGGCGCAAAGGGACTACTTCTGAATCATTTAGCAATTGATTCACAGGGCCGAATTGTCTTTGATAGCAGTGACGATGCTGGTGATGCATCCGGAGAGGGTCAGGGTAGACAACGAAAGGGAGACGCCCTCGAGGAGGAAGAGGAGTTAGATCCGGATTCCTTGGCCGAAACAACTGCGAAGGATCTAGAAGATGACGACGAAGATGTAGACATCGACATCGCGGCTCTCGGTGCCAAGTTCTTCCCAAGTCTTGATATCCTAGACGAACAGGACATTTGCCCGTCTCTGAAGAACTTTGATCTTGGAGATCCATCCGGCACAATGGACATCCCCTTCTTGAAGGCACCTGAAGACTGGCGACAAGAAAAAGACCAGCCTGAAGAGGCGATGGGGGCTGTTGGTGACAAGACGGGAATCTTTCTCGATGATGACAACCCAGTTGGTTTCGATGATGACGAAGATGGATTGCTCGGAGGCTTCGACATTCCGATTGACACTGGATTTGGTGAAGGTGGTGAGGCATGGGCGCGGGATGCTGCCATCGAAACGAGGATGCGTGTTCACGACGGGGGCTTCGACAACGACGGAATGGGAGGTGGTGATGGCGAGGAAGGAGATGGCGCGGGAGCTGGCGCTTTTGATACTGAAACTGGCGAGTATGCTGTATCTCTAGACCACGGTGCAAAGACGCAAGGTGGTCATGATGATATCCTGAGCTACTTCGACGAGGCATTGCAGAAGAACTGGGCCGGACCTGAGCATTGGAGAATCCGGAAGATCAAGGACATCAACAAACCAGCTGCTGCAGCCAAGCCACGCAAGGAGAAAGAACTTTTCGAAATCGACTTTTTTTCGCCTCTCTCGGCTAGTCTGGCAGAGACTATATACACTTCAGCATCGTCGAACAGCGTCATTTCTCTACCCAAGAAGGACTGGAAGTCAAAAACCAGAAATCTTCTTCCCGACGACAAGCATTTCAACTCAAAACAACTGCTGCGCCTCTTCTTGAAGCCCAAGGCCCGCATGGGCGGCCGCAGATCTGGGCCCGGCATGAAGACGAACAATTTTGGGCAACGAAAGGAAGAAGAGGCTCCCGAAGGCGAAATCGACGAAGCCTTCTGGGCGCAGAATGAAGGACCGGCTGGGGCCGATGATGCACCTGCTCAAGGCGATTACGACGCCAACTTCTTCCAGGACGACGGCCTACCTGTTCCCGGAGGGATGGACGACGAGGATGACATCGAGTTTGCCGATGCCCGTGATCACTTTTCTCCAGGTGCTGAGGATCGTGGAGAGGGTGGCGTGGCAGGCATCGGCAACGTGATGGATGGCGGCATGACACAACGTCCCGAGGGAGAGGAAGGAGCCTTTGGAGCCCAGCTCGTCACGCAGAGTCGCAGAATGAGACCGGAGTACGTGCAGTATGCTCGTGTTGCGAAGAAGGTCGATGTTCGGAGATTGAAGGAGGAGCTATGGAAGGGTATGGGTATTGATGCTCTTGACGTAAGTTGTTTCTTTCCAGTCATGCCCATCATCAAGCTTACATGTTATAGAATCTTCCAACACAAACACCTGGGAGGTTGCCCACCCCTCAACCAGAACCGAGAAAGGGCGAAGACGGCAGTCTGAAATTCACGTCCATAATGCAGAACTTGCAAAGCGTCTACCCTAGACAGGCGATGAACGATATCTCGACGAGTTATTGCTTCATCTGCTTGTTGCATTTGGCGAACGAGAAGGGGCTAGTGATTGAGAACCAGGAGGGACTTGTGGAGTTGGATATCAGGAAGGATCCTACTGCTGAGATTACGGTTGGGGGATGAGCTCTATCATGTTAGGTGTGTTCGTCTGGGAGGTTTGTCGTGTTTAGTGGCGTTTGAGCGTAGTGATGGATGGATTCATGATTGAATGAGGGATTATAATGCATTGAGATGTATACACGAATCAGACTTTCAGAAGAGGCTTACTGTAGAGGTCGTTTGGTCCCAACTCCTCAGGCGGAGGTTGGTCTTTGATCCAACGCTAAGATCGATTGAACAACAAACTAGGTTATACAAACTGTTTCGCCACCTCATACAAATTCGTACTAACGGTATAGTTACGGCTAAATGTTTTCTTATATTCTGATTGTGAAGTTGTATGCTAGCTAATCGTCGGTTTCCTTAAATTTTAATTCGAAAGAATTGACCGACTTGCTATAGCAAGTCGGCACCACCAAGGCGGGACACCCAGCAAGGCGGGACAGTAAAATTTGCTCCTTTTTAATAAATAAAAAATTAACTAATTATTATATAATAATTATCTTTGTATAAAAAGATGCGCCGTATTAAGTTTCATATTAATCAATTAATTGAATTTTAATTACAAGTTGTTATTCTTCTATTGTGTTAAGTTAAAGTAATAAAAAGAGTACTTTTGGTATATTCTTTTCGATTTTTATAATGCGTATATATCAGAATTGCCGCGTATATATTAGAATAAGCGAGGAACACGAAAATCGGACTTTTATTCAAATCTATTAAAAAAATACGTGCATCACTACCAACTTTTATTTAATAATTAATACTTTTAGTAATATAATATATTAAATCATTTATTTTCGATCTGTGTGACGTTTTTTTGAATTAAGTTTGTGGCTATTAAGATATTTGCAATAAACAAGTAAATTTGAATTATTTAGGATAGTTCTTGACCATTTTTTTATTACATTTCAATGAATTAGATTACTACAAATAATTGGATTTTTATAATTTTAACTCACGTTTGTAAAGAAAAAAATTCTAAGCATATAAAGATTTTTTTTAATTTTTTATAATAATAGTTGTTGTTTAATAAGTGGTATACCGTTACTGTCCCGCCTTGCTGGGTGTCCCGCCTTGGTGGTGCCGACCTGGCTGCGCCAGGTCGGGATTTTTTACAAATTAAATTCAAGGTAACCGACGATTAAGCTATTCATTTCAACAGCTCGATCCACTTTTGCTACTTGCCTTTTTATCGATAACTCAGCGGTTGAAACTATGTAACAGGAATCACGTGAATATTGATGGCTTTTAGAAGATCTGAAGGAATCATAATGTATCGAAATCAAGAGGAATACGCGACAGAGTAGTTTTCAAGATCGATTAAATTTTCTTGGCGAAACGTCGTTTTAAACTCTTGGTTTTTAGAAACCGTATTATTGCACAAACTGGATTTGGACCAACGGAGCCCTTATACCAAGATTGAGATGCAGGCTTGATGGCGGACCCTTCTGTTAGAACTCTTGTCTATCAAAATGTGCCGAAGAAGTCATGTATTCAAGTCCCTGCTCCTGGGAGCTCGATTACAATGAACACGTGATATTCTAGTCGATCGGAACGAGGCTGATATCTTGGCGCGTATTCCGCTCAGCCAAATAATTCCTCTCAATCCTAAATACCATCAACACCCCGCCAGACTTCCCGAGATAATAATAAAGCAGCCATGACAATCACAGACATAGTCACAGACCCCAGCCTCAGGTTGGCCCTTGAAACTTCTGCCCAAGCCCAAGAACAAGCCCTCAAGCTCCTCGACTTTGTCTCCTCCCAACCTCCGACCGACTCTCCCTCCCACGACTTCCAAATCCAAGTCTCGAAGCAGCAGAAGCTACTCCTGACCTACCTCGCGCAGCTGCGAGGTTTGCACAGAGACGCGCACGTCAATGCGCGGGAGACGAAAGCTGTGACTGCTGAGGCGCGCCAGGAGGTCGATAAACTGCACTTGCAGCTGCAGAATCTGTATTATGAGCAACGGCATTTGCAGGCCGAGATTGCTGCGTGCGAGTCTTACGAGTACATACCCTTTCCCTATTATCACAGACTGCAGAAGCTAAGAAGTTGTGTAGTCACAAATACACCCAGCTCCCCCTGATTCCAGTCGAAGCTTTCCTTGCTCAGTTCCCGGAACACGCCAAATTAGACGAGAACGAGCTGATGCTTGCGCGGATCGAGCATGAGTTTACGGATCGCCAGATTCTGGAGAATCAGAGACAGGAGCTGTTGAAGAAGAAGATGGCGTTGCAGGCTGGGAACAAGCAGCGCAAGGATGATCTGGCGAATCTGGACAAGGATTTGGAGAAGTTCATTGATGCTGCAAACCCGATTCTGAAGACGTTCGGTTAGTAAATATCTCTTGTTGGGTGGCTCAGGCTGGCGCTGCTGGGTCTGAACCCTGGCTATTTGGAGCATGTCCATCTGCTCTTTTGATATCGAAGAACCGATACTGACTTAGTTTTCTGGGATATAGATAAGGTCATTTGAGCTGGGAGTCCAGCTATCAACAGTGAGTCCCAAATGGCCTAAGCTGAGCGATCAATCAATATGGCGACCCATCCGATCATTGGCGGCTGCGGCTGCTCCTGTTTGCCCAGAAGATCGGACACAACGGATCTATGCAATTCTGTTTGACACCGCACTTGCCATCCTCACGCCCGCGTGGCTGGCTCTGCAGCAATGGCGTGTTGAGTAGAAAATGGCAACGCCCCGACAAGGCTTGGATCTGCAAGCCGAAGAAGGAAGTCCGTGGGGAATAGGGTCTGACAGCAGCCGTGGTTGACCACACTCAAGGCCAAGAGACTTGAATTCAATAGAGCCTTTCGGCATCAAGTCCGCTACGTTAGGCTTGTCTTCTTGAACCGCTCTTGAATAAAAAGGTTTCTATCTAATGTCCACATATGCTGACTTGATTCTTGTGCATGCAACATCAGACCTTCAGTTAGACCCACATCTTCGCAGATATGAACGTCTCTGATACTAGGCCACTGTCTAGAGTGATCCATTCAACATGTTTGTTACCAAAATGGCTCTCACCTCACTTCCTCACAAAAAGCTTCAGCAAATCTATATCCAAAGCTCACTCATCTCAGCATTCTACTTTCCGCGACCTTGCACATGAATGTAGGCTGTCGGGATCAGGCTGTGCGGAGAAAAATCCAATCCGGCCCCAGCCTACGAATGTCATGCATGGGAAGTGAAGGGCTGAACACATGGCTTGTGCACGCCGTGGTAAGTGGCCTCGCTTAGCATCAGGGAGCCAAACAAAGGCTGTGCTCGTCATGTCATCAGTATCCAGAACAAAGGCATCTGGCATCCTTTGAAAGCCACAGAGTGTCAGCTACCCTGGGACTCGTCCCTCATGTCCGGGGGCTGCAATTTTGCAAACTTTACACCGCGCTGTACACTCGTTATCTGTGGACTGATCTTATTCATCTCTTCCTTCGTTGTCAATCTCATTTCTTATACAACCTCCAAGAAGTGCCAAAAAGGAAGCTGTATATAATTTATCGTCAATATGTTGTCTTTGCGAAAGCTGTGTGTTTTCTTTATGGTACCGGGGATAGTGTACGCACAAGGCTCGTCGCCGTCTTCGACTGCCAGTGCTGCCGCAGCTACCCATTCTGTCAATGTCGGAGCCGTGAGTCAACTGCCGCCCTCGAGCTCGATAGTATATGCTGAAACCGAGCAGACTGGTCATCACTTTACCCCTGATTCATTAAAAGCAGCAAAGGGAGATATCATTGGTGAGAGCTGGGAATTTTGCTGCCTCCGAAGAAGAAGCACTGACGGTCCAGAATTTCGTTTCTATCCCCTCAACCATTCGGTGGCGAGAGCCGATTTCAGGAGCCCATGTTTTCCCTACGAACTCACCGGGGCCGGAAGGGTAGGTTTCTGGAGTGGCTTTGAGCCCGTCAACGTCGTGACATCCGATGTGAGTCTCTTCCTCAATAGCAGGGCTTCAAATCCTGATGAACGGGTCCAGCCTCCCATCTTCCGCCTCTTAATCAACGACACGAATCCCTTGTTCTACTACTGCTCTGCCCCTGGCGCTTGCGAAGACGGCATGGTTGGTGTCATAAACCCAAACTCAACTCAAACCCTCGCCGTGCAAGAAGCCTACGCACACAACGCAACCATCGCCTTCTCCCCCGGCGAAGGCTTTCCCCCGGAGACCAAGTCCTCTTCAGCGGCAACGGCAACGGCAACCTCTCCACCCGCCGCCTCATCCTCCAGTTCTCACCCAGCTCTCGGCACAGGCGCCATCGCCGGGATCGCCATTGGCGGCGTGGCCGTTCTTCTGCTAGGCGGCGCCCTCATTTACCTCTGCGGCCGTCAGAAAACCATGGGCGAGATCCTGCGACGGGACCACCGCTCTTCGCTGCCTCCCCCTTCGTACGTCCCTGGGCCAGGCCACATGTCCATGGCGTCTTCGGCTGCGTATAGCAAGTCTCCTTATACCGAGGGTGGTGGTGCGCAAAGGTACTCGGCGCAAGGAGGGGCGCTTTATGGTGGGGAGGAAGGGAGTTACCGGTCGAGGAGTCCGGCCGTGGATGAGGTGAGGGAAAAGAGGTACGGGAGCCCGGGGCTGGGTGTAGTAGGCATGGGTATGGGCGGGGGCGGGGGTGAGAATGGGACGCCGGTGAGCCGGACGGGTAGCCCGTTGGCGAGGAGGCTGCTTCCGAGCAGTTCTGGCCGAGGGCCGGTGACGTTGAGTGACGGGCCGTCGTACGAGCAGCAGCTTGGTGATGGCGAGGAGTAAGCCTTCTCTCTCTCTCTCTCTCTCTCTCTCACACACACACACACACACATCCACCTTCAAGCTTCGCGAAAATGCACCATGCTGATGCTTGAGATACCTAGGTTGCAGCGGAATCCGTCCCGGCTGGGGCCGCACGAGCTGGGCACAGACAACGTTAACGATCGGGGCTATGTTCCGTACCAAGCCGAGATACAGAGTCCGACGCTGGGACGAAATTGATAGCAGCGCGCGACGCGAACTTCTGCATGTATGCACATGGCGGCGTTTCTTGATATCGTCTCTTCTTTGGCTTCTTGATCCGGACGTTGGAAGAAGGTGTTGGTTTAGCTCGTGATGCTGGTTTTTTCTGGGCGCTGGTGTTACATATGCTTCTATTCGGAGTTTCCAATCAAGAGGTGAAATATACTATTTCAACTATCTGAGTACTTGCATTGAGTGGTTGACACCTGGGGCTCTGCATATGCTTTAGAGCGTAGGATGTTGATATCGTCCCATCAGCGCGTCTTTTCCTGGCAGCGAATCAAGGTTTGGAAGGCACATTGCGGGGGCGGGGGAGAGGGGTTGTTGTGATCATCATAGCCACCGTCAGGAAGAAGGTAAATTCAAAAGGATTTGCTAAATATATATATCTCCATTTCAACTCCCCTGCTATCTATCTCTTTATCTCTCAAAATCTCTATCCCAAGAACAATCCTGGCACCCGAGACTCAATGCAAACAAACAAATACACAACCACAGAAACACAATCGATTGTGAATCAAATATATAAACATCCCAGCGCGACGACCGTGATGCGCTCGCTCGTCTTCTGAATTTCCCTCTCCTCGCTTTCCTCACTTTCCTCACTTTCCTCACTTTCTTCTTCTTCTTCTTCTTCTCCTTCTCCTTCTCGTCTCACCCAATCACCCAATCACCCACATCTGGTTCTGCATCATCCATCCATCCATCCAGCCAGCCGATCAGCAGACATGCATTGCATGCGTTGCATGCATATATATGCCGTTACCCTCTCTGACTGACTATATATATACCTTATAGCTAATAACCGACTATAAATAGGTATAGATATACATATACCTACATCCTGCATTGCCCAGCACCCAGCACCAAGCAAGCAAGCAAGCAAGCACACATGCATGCCGTACATCCCATGCATCAAAGCCCATCACGCGATCCACCCAAGCCCAGGCAGGCAGGCAGGTAGGTAGGTATGCGTATTATTAGTTGTTCGTTGCTGTCTCTCTCTCGCTCTACCTATTGGCCTGCCCGACGAAGCACTTTCCACATTTCTACAGTTCTTGGTAACTCTCTCTCTCTCTCTCTGTTTCATCATCTTCTTCGTCTTTTTCTTCTCCTCCTCTTCTTCTTCTCTTCTTCTTCTTCTCATCATCATCATCATCATCATCATCATCAACTTGATGCCAATCGAGCCTTCCCAAGTGGGTAGGTAGCTTGGTAGGTAGGTAGATATCTAAATCGCGCCCATCTGCTATAGCTTCGAGAAGATGAATGTAAAACGTACGCGGTACGCGGTACTCAGTGTAGGGTCACCCTTTTGGTTTGAATCGGCAGATCTTCACGTATCAAGGGCGAAAAGCTGTTTATTCAATATATTCGTCTAGGTTGTAGCGTCAGAGTGTGACTGGCGGGCTGCACCTTCCATATTCGTATTGAGGATATGTGGTCACGTGGTGTTATCTACCACCGACTCCACCACAAGAGACACCATGAGTTTAACCTGGAAATATATTAAGCTGAGCGAGGCCACTCCTGATATTAGTAGCAGTTTGTAGCGTAATAGGATAGAAGTGTACGGTGGCATGATTGATCCCGTTTTGAGAATTTGGCATGTGCTGTATACTCCGATGAGTTTTGAGAATGAGTGTCGTTGTATGATGGTGGGATTTGGTTCAAGGGGATAAAAGGACGAGGAAGACAGTGAGAACGGGGCGGCGGGCTGTCGCAGTGGCCTTGGAGCGTTGGTGATGCATATCTCGCGTCTTTCTACTGGACCGTGATGGCCGCCAAACCTGGCCTTTGAGACTTCTCGCCAGTCACTGCGGGCACTGTCGCTGTATGTGGGAGAGGCTCGAGGATCTAAGGCTCTGTATGGAGTAGAGGCAGCACGCTGTACGGAGGGCTTTCGCACCCTCCTCCCACTCTCGAGGAACAGAATAGGCGTCGCTGTGGCACGAGGAGCGGTGTATACACAGAGACTGCTTGGTGGGTGAGATGGCGTTCGAATGGTGCCATGTGTCTGTGTGAGATGGACTTGGCGCATGGGTACTGCTGTTCGGCTCCTCTCAAGTGTCGAAAGCCGTGGCGGATTTCGCAATATGGTCAGGCGGGAATTCGATGGCAAGTTCGATTCCATACGGTCCGGTCCCTCTTCCAACCACCGTGGCACGTCCAGAATGCAAATGACAACAATAACAACAACAACAAGAAGAAGAGCATTGCTTCTGTTGTCTTGTCTGAGAGCAGCGATGGGTCGCATAAAAGAGGCCTCAATTGCAGGCCTTGCTATAGCATAACTTATATCTCGACCCTGCCAAACTGCACGACAGCACAAGCGCCCACTTACTTGTCCGACAGTGGCGCGAAGATGCATCGACGAAGAAGAAGAAGAGTAGGTGGATGAGGGAGAACGACGAGCCTCGAGCAGGTTGTCTGGAAAGGTGCTATTTCAACGGCTCTCATTCGGTCTGGCAGCGAAACAGCTGGGACCAGTACCCGCGCGCTGCTAGACACTATCTGGCCTGGCCAGCAGTTTTAGCACTCGCCATTGAAGAGGGTAGGCAGCAGCCACTCATATGGCATTTTTGAGCCTCTTTTCTTCCAGCTTTGCTAAACCATCTTATCTTGGTGGCTAGCGGCTCGTAACCTTGCAGGCTAAAAGCGCGCGGGAGTCTCCGGCCCTAGATCTCCGGCCATCGTTGATGAAGGCGGCGGAATGGACTTGATGATAAGTAATGATTCGATCATTGAGGACTCTCCAAATATGGCTGGAATCCTCCTGCCGCGCGGGCCGTGTATCAGAGGCAAGGAGAGGCGGTAGAGAGGAAAGAGGCACACGTATATATATAATCAAGCCTGATCCTAAGACATCAGACAGCAAGCATCCAAGTTTCCAACGTGCTTCCACCGCTTACCATCTCTTCTCCAACACCGGCGATCGTTGAAAAGTATATCCTTCAAGATCTGTGTCAAGCTCCTCCATTGGTTCATTCGCAATCGGTCTCCCAGCAACCGACGCCCTGGAGAGCAGGAACGCACACACCCTTGCCCGATATCGTTGAGGCCTCCGTCGGAAACGTCCGACAGTTGCAAGGCAGTCCAATCGATCGATCTATGGCACAAACAACAACATCATCGACTTACGGCAGCACCCGTCCCGCACTATCGTATTTTCTGTCATAATTCGTGCCCGCACTTGGGCGGTTGCTAGGTCTAGCCAGCTCAGAACTTTGCACGAAGACGTCTGTCTGCCCTCTGCCCTCTGCCTTTGCCTTTTTGCCTTTTTGCCTTTGCCTCCACCTCGGACCAGTGCCAATCATCGGGCAGCATCTCACAGACGCCGGCTCCCTCCTGCACTCACGAATCACGAATCACGTCCAGCGCCCCGCAGCTGCCCGCGCTGCCACCGCGAATCACATCCGACGGCTGTCTGTCGGGCTTCGTCGCTGGCCTTCTTCCGACTCGTCGCCAACCCACGCAAAGCCTTCCGTACTCTGTACCAGCAAGACAAGCGTCCTCTACTCGGTGTCAGTCCGTGTGTGCGTGTGTGTGTGTGGGTTATTAGCGTCGGCGCGTGTCAGCTGTAGTCTGCTGTCGGCGGTTGTGCTGTACGGAGAGTAGTTGTGCTGTGGTTGTAACAGGCTCAAGTCTTGTTCCAGACAAGATATCCATCTCTGCTAGTACCCGTCGGGATTAGCCTGCTCGCTTACTCCGTACACACCTGGGTCGGGGTCCCGGCCTCTCATCACACGACGCCGCTCTTATCACATCTATCCGTACTTACAGCCCCACATCGCATCGCGTCGATCCACGAGTGCGGCGGCCAACAACAATCCTCCGCAAGCGCCCTCATCACCATCACCTTTACACATCACATACCTACTTAGCACTGGTTGCTATATCCGTCTGCCTTCTCGGCCTCTGACTCTGGCCTCCCCTGGTCATTCTTCCTCCGACGCGCTCTGGCTCCGGCTTTTGCTCTGGCTCTGCTTTTGCGGCCATAGCTTCTTCTGGCTGTACTGGCTGTACTGGCTGTGTTATTGTACTATACCGAAAGGAAGAAGAGACCCCCCCCCCTCCAAGCTCGCTGCAATACCGGTATCGTCCACCATTAATACTGCTCACCACCCCGATCTCTCCTCCTCCCTCCTCCACGGTCTGCCCCCGTCCCCGCATCGCAGCTCGCCGGCTACTTGTGCTTCGTTCGAGTCCGTCTTTGATCTCACAGATATTCGTTACGCTGGACGAAGAGACAAGATGCCTCCCTCTACCAAGCCCAAGCTGCCGCAGCTCAAGACTCCTATGACGTCGACCTTTCCTTCCGAACTGTCGGCCTTGTCTGCGCGAAGCCCTCTCCCTGGATACGCCGACTTCCTCAAGCACGAGGACTATATCAAGACCCCAATTACTCCTCCCATTGCATATACGGACTTCCTCAAGACCATGTCGGGTCCGGTGGTTGCAGAAGTCAAGGCATCGTCGGGACGGACCACACCTACTTCGGCCCCTTCGACTGGCTCCAGTGAACACAGCAATTGCTCCTGCAACTGCGAAACACACAAATCGCCCACCTCCGCCTTATCCTCTGCGCAATTCGCGTTCCCATCTTCGGCTCCTTCGACAGGACGTTTAGGACGCTTGCGGATACCTCCATCTCCAGCCTTCACTAGCGGGGAATCTCCCATGAGCGCCTCATCCGCCGTTCGGTCTCCCTTCAGCGCTAGAAGTGCACGGTCACCCTTCGATTGGGATTTCAAGACCAGAGGCAAATACTTCGATGTCAAGTCACCGAAAACGCGATCCAGCGTTCGTCAAGTTCGGGAGATTGTCACTCGGACAGTCACTTACACACCACGGATGAGCCCTGCGCCCAAGGGGAAGAGGAGGAAGATAGAATAATAGGGCTATACCAAGACGCTAGATCCGATCAGTTCCACGCTCTCTCAGCATCTAAATTTCATTCATCGCGCCATCTATACGCAACGCCATAACGCTATAACCATCTACATTCTCAGGCTGCTAATTACGACTTTCACGCTTTCATTTCTTGTTTACGAATATTTACCCAAACTTGGACGCACAGGCGTCTGAGTGACTTTGTCAGGGAGGGGAAAATGGTTCATGCTTCATATCTACTATCTTGCCCGGCGCACCGCCTGGCGCATCGTTGGAGTAAGATAACCCGGGAGGACTTTTGCGAAAACCAGAGCGGGTTTGGCATTTGGGAGGTCACGTCAACGGCCTTCTCAGGATTGGTAGGAAGTCTGGGGTTATCTGGAGGCCGCCCTTCCTCTTCTCGTGCGAAGGGAGGGTTTTTCTATCACGGGCGTTTTGTCGGCGTATGGGGTTTAACTTTGGGATCAACCTGGGTACTGGGTCGGAGAGTTGAGGCGTGTGTGGGGGTGATACCAGCGTAAGCAAGCAACGAACGAAATTCGCAGTTGCATATGGCAATCAATCAATCAATCACTTATTTAGCAGATGAATACCGGTCTTTGCGATGCATCTTGGTGACCAGCCAGCCGCAATCAAGCAGCAGAACGCGATTCGGATAGCGCGTAACTCGCGGATCGTGTACAGTACAGCACAGCACAGTACAGCACAGTACAGACGTGAGGCATCCAACTACCCAGCGCGACCCGACCAGAAATCCATAAAGCGACGCCCCCATGTGCCGCTCGCCATGCCCATAAATAGAAAAAAAACAAGAGGTCTCGTGTCTGTAAAAGCGGCAGCGAAGACTTGGACCTGGACTTGGACCTGGAGACCTGTATCTGGATACGGTCGCGAGAATTTATTTTTTTTTCTTTCCTCCTTCCTTTTTTTCTTTTTTCTTCCTTTTTTTTTTTTTCTGGGGAAACTTTATTTTGAATTTTTGAATTTTTTGAACTTTTTTTTCTTCTCCTGTTTCATTTACGCGCCGTGGTTCTCTTCAGCGGGGTGGAGT